ACAATATTACTATGTCTTGTATTTTCTAAAGAAAATCGAAATGGCATGATTTTGAATGAAATATTTGGTAAAAACCATGAGCTTCCAGGGACTTCGCCCCTGGGCCCTCATCTGGACCCACTGGGGGTCTCAAAGCGGACCCCAGCCGTTCTCTGCGTACATTTCACTTCCATTCTGGTATGCGCCTGTCTGTGTTTTGGGGTACAACAAGATCTAAATTTCAGCATGTATATTGTGTTCACTTGTTCTTTAACAGAGTATCTGTTTCTGTATTACAAAGTTTTTACTATGATTATCTTGTTTGCGCATTGATTGATAATTACTCAAAAACATGAGACTAAGGCCCCCCTCCCCCCTACGCTGATATGATTTGTGCTACAATACCCAATTAAGTAAAACCTGATGTAAACACTGTTTAATAATTTATTTTTAACATGCCAGTAAGTATATGGTATCAAAGGAGCCAGAGGCAAACTGGTGAGGGGGGGGGGGGGGGTTAGATCTGTAGAAAGGAAAACAGGTTATTAAATACAGGAGTAAGCACCCCAATCCCTTCCTTCTGTTCTTAAAACTTTTAACGTAGTCTAGAATCCATAAACAGTTGAAGGTTTGATAACTAAAATAATCACATATGAAAAAAAAAAAAAAAATACTAAGTTCTGTTGGAGATATTTTTTCTGTGTGTCTACTGAGGAAGAATAAATGTTTAATCATTGATAGGGGCTGTCTATTTTTTATTTTTATTACAAATGACTGAATCTTTCAATATTTTTAACCATGGGCATTTTCCAATTTATTTGCATGATGGATGTTGCGGCAAATTTTAGGCGAACGGAGGAAATGCGGTAGGTGTCAAATACGTCTTGTGTAGCGTATAAAAGAACGAAGATATACAAAACAAAGTAAAGTCAAAGATTTTTTTATGCATACCGTTTTGATTTAGTGAAATAAAGCCCAGCGCAGTCCGTAGGTATTTGTTTGAAATTTGCGAGGTACACAAACTCTGCTAAGTACCACAGAGTTATCTCCCATGTTGGGTCAGTGATGCGTTTGAAAACTATATTTAGAATGAATGTGTTAAGATTTCAAATTTTAAGCAAAAAGTGCAAGGGCAAGGCGACAACCCAAGAGGTAGGTTTTTATTTTAAATACTTTATTTTACTGTATAGTTTTTAAAAAGTGATGCTCATTTCTTTGTAATTCATTAGGCAATTTAAAATTTCCGATTAAATGATGAAAAATACCCTACTTTTGAATACTGGTGTTTGTTTTCAATGGATAACTTAAATATCTCAGAAATCTGACTGAATGAGCATCAGTTTTTCGATAGGATAGATACCAAGGGACACAATGAAACCTTGTGCAGTTCAAATATTGTTTGCCTTGCCCTTGCACTTTTTGGTTAAATTTGACATTTCATATTTTGACCTAAAATCGGAGCTCACGTGACTTTAGAGGGTCACATGATGACAAAAAATACCGATGTGAAAAGCGATGGACAAACTCTTCATAAAGCCATTTAGATATTTCAGATAGAGTTTCATGCTAAAAAATAAGACGGTTGAACTTTAAGTGTCTCGTTTTTGGTGCCTTTTTATAGAAAATGTTGCCTTAACTGTACTGCGAAAAAAGAACATAAAAAAATTTACTACCCGAGGAGTACAATAATTACCAGGTTCAAAGGTTGAAGTGAATATTGTACTTGAGGGTTGCTATACCATCGTATTGACTAAAAAAAACAGCAATTATATTGTTTTGTGTATGATTTATCAATTAAAGAGGCATAGACACACTTGCATTGTTGTTTTGTTTACAATTCTGAATTCTAAAAACTCGTTCCATACGCAAGGGCATGCTCTGAATACAATCTATTTTTACCCCAAGACAAGCCACTGACAAATAAGTTGATGTTACAAGGATTTCAACAACCCTGTTTAAAGTAAGCTTTTCGCAAATTTTACGGTCGTAATAACGACACTGAATGTAATTACAACCTATCGTTGGGTCGCATTTTGTCTATGTTTCAAACCATTTATTACATTGTAGATCTTAGTTTTTATACTAAATTTGACTACGGACTACTCCGTAGTACTCAATCAATACATAGGGCTCACGGCGGGTGTGACCCGTCGACAGCTTACTCCTCCTATAGGCACCTGATCCCACCTCTGGTGTTTCCAGAGGTCCGTGTTTTTGTCCTGTTTACGATTCATTTTGTTTACTTGATTTATGAGATTGATCGTTAACTATAATTTGTTATCTTCATCTTTTACATTACTTTGAAGAAAAAAAAAAAAAAAAAAAAAAAAAAAACTCCAGTAAACATTGGCGAGCGAGCTCGTTTACTTTTTGCCAGGTCGATTTGCTGACATTGCTCACATCATTCAACACAAACATACAACACTGTTGTGTTGGTTTTGCTTTCTTACATTTCTTTTACTTTTTTATTTTGACTTTTCTTGAATATGGTTTTAATATGTTTAATATGTTTGCTGAGGCCACAATAGGTGATCAAAGAAGTTTAACACTGGAATGCATAGGAAAAATCTTTAAAAATCTTCACCTCAAGAACAGATAAGCTATAATTAGACATATTTAAATGTCTAACATTTTCAAGTAGTGCAGATTCAAATTTCTTCAAAACATATCCCCTGGGGTAGGGTGGGAACACAATAAGCGATCAAAGTTTGAAATAGGGTACAGGGAAAATCGTTTAAGATCTTTTCAAGAACAGGAAAGCCATGATTATTCGTACATATATATAGAAACATCCTCAGGTAGTGTAGATTCATTTTTTTTTTTCAAATCATGACACCAGGGGGTAGGATGGAGCCACAATAGGTGATCAAAATTTCACATAGGAATACACATAAAAAAAATTCTTCTCAAAAAGATCTTTTCAAGAACAGGAAAGCCATGATTATTCGTACTTGTATATAGAAACATCCTCAGGTAATGTAGATTCATTTTTTTTCAAATCATGACCCCAGGGGGTAGGATGGAGCCACAGTACGTGAATACACATAAAAAAAATTTCTTCTCAAGAACAGCAAAGCCATGATAAGTCATATTTATATGGAAGTATCCTCAGATAGTATAGATTCAAGTTTGATTAAAAAAAAAACATGCCCCGGGGGAAGGGGAGTTAGAGTGGGGTCACAATAGGTGATCAAAGTTTAACATTGGAATATATAGGGAAAATCTTTAAAAATCTTCTCAAGAACAGCAAAGCCATGATTAGTAATACATATATAAATATATATATTATATATATAATATATTTATATGGAAGCATTTCAGGTAGTTTAGATTCATATTTGTTCAATTCATGAGCACTGAGGGTCGGGTGGGGCCACTATCGTCGGTGAAAGTTTTACTAAGGAATATACAGAGAAAATCTTTAGGAAAGCCATGATCAGCCTTATTTATATGGAAGCATCCTCAGGTAATGTAGAATCAAATTTGTTAAAACCTTGACCCCTGGAGGTAAGGTGGGGCCACATTATGTGATTAAAGTTTTCCCCAGGAATATATAAGAAAAATCTTTAAAAAATCTTTTTCAAGAACAGCAAGACTATTTATATGGAAACAGGTAATGTTCTTTAAAAATCTTCTTTTCAAGAACAGCACAGCGATGATTAGTCATATTGATAGGGAAGCATCGTCAGGTAGTGTACATTAATATATTGAAGATTCAAGTTTCTTCAAATCATGACCCCTGGGTAGGGTGGGGCCACAATTATAAAATTTCAATTGAAACATTATAACACAAAAATAATTTAAAAGAACAAATATTTGCTGGATAGCATTAGCTTTTTCACCGAATAATTCTCTCCCTCTCCCTAGATTTTTTTTTTTGATTTTGATTTGATTTTTTTTTCTATCGCCTGCAAATACTCTACTGTAACATACCGACAGTGAACAATATGCTATATGAATGCTGAATAAATCAGGATCCCTTTGTTTTACTGAATACGAAATTAACACATTTTTTTTTTTTTTACTGAATACGAAATTAACACAATTAAGTAACAATTCATCTTTATTTCTGCACATTTTCTGCATTAAAAAATGGCCTAGCATCAACTTTGGCCAAGCGTCTTTTTCTGCAAATTCAAAGTGTTAACACATCGTCAAATAAAATAAGGTAAATAACTTTTATGTTCTGATAAAATTGAGTGCATTCATGGAACTTGCGTAACCAAGCAATAGGCAAATTGCACCAAGTTGTTTGTTATTTTTGTACTAAATCAATGAATTAAAGTATATGTAGAAATTTGTTAAAATAATAACAACACCCAGCAACATACCATTAATAATCCCCTTCAAAATATGCCCCTTACAACACCTCCCCCCCCCCCCAAATGCAATACAGTCGGTGTGTGAACAAACACAAATAAACACATCAAGCTAAATAATTCTTATAAATGACCAAATCAAGTCCCAGTGAAACAATTAAATTCAATGAATTGTCTTTTATAAAACTAAATATAGTTCATGCCAGGTAAAAAGTTTAAATGAACAGAGACATAATCCAGATATCTTTCTTCATAAAATGAATGCAAAATAATATTCATAGCACTTTTTATACTTTAACAGATATATGTAGAAAACTACAGTTAGAGAATTTTATTGGAGAACTCCAAAAACATTTATTTATAAAAATTCAGAACACTGTCAGATTTACAATCATACTGGTATCAAAATATAATATGTTGCCTCATTTAACATCTAAGGACAACTTTTTCAAAACATGGCTGCAGGAACTGGTGGTAGGGTAGGTGTGAGAGGATGTGTCCCCCCCCCCCCCCCCCCCCGTGCCAAAAAAAAAAAAAGAAATACTTTGCTGATATACAGTATACTATAGTAAAAAAGCTACTTTATGGATGTGCTCCCTCAGTAAATATATCTGATGACTTCTCTGAAAAAAATTATTATGATTAGGTTTTTTTCTTGTTTGCTTGCTGCCCCCCCCCCCCCTCCCACATTGAACAACTGAAATGACTTCCTACAGGCCTACAAAATGCCTTACCTACACAGGTACATGTATAAATGAAGTGCATGTTCAACATATGTTTACCTTAAAAAATCAAGCAACATTTCAACAATTTAAAAGAAAGGTTTATATACCATAAAATATTCATGAGCAATGTATATGAACACATTCATGTGTTAAACACTGGTTTCTGAAATGAACAGTTCAGCTTTATATGTTTAAAACATATTTCAAACAAATGTTGAGCATACATTAAATAAATGTAAAAAAAAAAAAAAAAAAAAGGTAAACATAAGTCAATTTTTTTTCTGTGTAAATTCCAACTTTCTTCAGTTGTGAGAATGACTATAATGATCTGGAATGTATTGTTTTTCTACTTCTGATCCCCCCCCCCCAAAAAAAAAATATATACGTTTGTATATATATGAATTATGCAGGTTAATCTTCTGTGCTATCACTTGACGAGTATCTGTAATTTGCAGAAAATAACAATGCTTACACCAACACCTCAGAAATTCTTTAACATGATGACAATTTTGCAAGTCGTCCTAGACACATGGCCGCTCATACAGGTACACTGTTGAGTATCAGAGTTATCAATGTCATTTATGTACTATTACAGGAAACTGTAGCATCAACAAAAAATCAAATCTCTTTCTGATTTGTGAGAGTCTTATGTAAAATTATCACATTCACAACTGTTTTATGGGATGACATATGGTTTTAATTTATTAATTAAATGGCATACTTTTTTAGATGACAAGGTTTTCTATTGTGTCAAAATTCAATACAAAACACATATCACACACATGTAACCTCCATCTTTCAACATTCAGCAGTTATGTATTATTTAAAAAAAAAAAACAAAATTAAAATAGTCCTTTCATCAAGTTGCTTTTCCAAGTTCTATCTTTTTTTGTAAAGCTCTGGATGAGTGATAAATCATGGAATCTATTAGACCAGCAACTGTAATATGAAAAATAAAAGTTTGATTTTTACCATTTCTATACTACATTACATTAACCAATGTAATTGTAAGGTGGATTTTCATAAGAATGTGTATCTGAAATTGAAGTAGCTGACTCAACTGTAGAAATTTCAACATCATTATAAGCCAGGAACAGTAACTATTGAAATTATCCATTATTGAAAATAAGGCATGAATTTGTGCAAAAAATGTCAGTATGGTCCAGTGTAGTTTGAATTAACATTCAAAATGTGCTAGTGAATACTTTCTTTTAATATGTGCTCCTATAAATTGACATTTTTCTAAATTTGTATAAACTTGCCTTATACACATATTACACTTATTAATCTGTTGAAAATAAAACCTGAAGGAATTGGACAACTTTAATTTTGATTACTGACTAATATATTAATTTTGCTTCAAAAATACTTAAACTGTTCACCCCAAGAGATACTCCCAAACCCTGGTAAAAAACTAAATCATTGCTTTTAATTTGTTTCTGCCTTGACAAAATAACCCATTAATTCCAAAGATTCTAGGGTGTAATAAAAACAATTTCATTATGCGGGACAGTTTGATGGTAATTAGTGGGGTGGGTTGGGGGTTTGAGAAAAAGTAAAATTCCTATTCAGCAATTAAAATATTTAGTACTTACCTGTGAAAATCCCCCCAACAATGGCACACACTCCAGTTAAAAAATGCATGAATGATCTGAAAAGAACAGATTATATCATACACTGTGTATTTGAGAGGGGAGGGGGCATTTTAATGATGTAAAACTGAATATCTAGTTTATTTTTATTTTTCCCCTTACCTCTGTTTCTCAGTGTATTTAACCATCATTGGTGACAATTCATAAATAAAAAACACTCCTGGCAATCCTGAATCTCCCAATCCATTTCCAACATTTTTGGAATGTTTTGTAACTGAATATTGATTCGTATACAATGCCTGTATATAAAAAGGTTTATTTCAGTGGCATAACAAGGCAAAAATAATGTGGATGCTTTCTTACTGCAGGGCATCTGGGGCCACAAATATCCTCCCTCCCTTGAGAATCCCCCCAGAAACTCCATAAAAAAAAAAAAAGAAAATATCTGAGTGTTAGACTGGGTCTTTTAACTTAAATTAATACCAAAAAAAATTATTTTTGAATAATAAAAACAATATATTGAAATACATTCTTTCATCAAAGAATTTTTTGTATTTCTTTATCAATTTAATATTTAACATTTAAAAAAAAAGAATGTGACTGCTTTGGCATACAAGAATATATGGTAGCTAACCCACTGTATTTGAAATTCATATGAAGACACTAGAACATATAAAGCAGGGTAACCTAATAAACAGTTATTTTTGTTGTTGTTGTCTAAATTGAATTACATGTATTAAATATCACATACACAAAACAAACAAACAAAAACTTACCCTCCCTTTTACATCAACATATGTTGTTGGCACAACTTTAACATAGTACTGGAACATTGTTTGCTCTGTAAACACAAAATTGAGAAGTTACGTGAACTTATGAAATGAGCTTGTACAGACATCACTGGTGGATTTTTTTTTTTGGTGTGCCCGTGGGCCCCTACCCCTACCCCAAACTGCCCCCCCCCTTTTCAAGATTCCTGGATCTGCCACTGGACATGCATACACCAATCTAATTAAAATTAGATGTTAGATCCGCTCGCATACTAGTTAGTGTAGTGAGTATGCGAGCGGATCTAACATCTAATTTTAATAGAAGTGTTATATTATACATTGTATATATTTTTCTAAATATTACATGCCACAAAGACAGTCTCTGCTCTTTATAACATTTTGTCAAAATTCATATTTAGTCTATTCCTTATTACATTTTTCTCTTTGGCTGTATGGTATGATCAGTTGCTAGGTAAAAAATACCTCAAAATAGAGGCTAGTAATAAGAAATGTTTTAAAAAAAAAAATTAAGATCGTTGGTATGCATATCTTATCCACTGTGGATGGAAAAAAAAAAAAAAGAAAAAAAAATGTACTTTGGGCCAAGCCGGGATTTGAACCCGGGACCTCTCGCACCCGAAGCGAGAATCATACCCCTAGACCACTTGGCCATGACAAAATCTCGGCGTTAAACTACTACATATGACATAGGAAAGTCGATGATTTATTTATTAATGCTCAGATGCAAAAAACTAAATATAAATTAGTGTAATGGACTTGTTAACGTATTCCCTTACTAGAATTAAGGGTCTTCTCGTTATTTTATATGTTGTAAATTGTTTCCACCGGAAGTAATATACACCGGAACTAGTATGGTGGCACATGTACACTGATTAACTGAACTGACATTGTTTATCACATCCTTTTTACACCAGATAAGGTAAATTGAGCTTCTGATTACTTAGCGTAATTTTAAATTGCAGTGTATTTTTCATTAAATCATTGTTAGCAGTGGTCAATCTTTTTGGTACTACAATATCAGTATTACTCTCGGAGTCTGACATTGAATTGGTGACATCAGAAAATCTCAGGGCCCCGTTTTACAAAAGAAACTTGCGACAAGGACCAAAATGTAATTTTGAAAATAACTTTCTATTTTATATTAACATGTAAATGGTTTACTGTCTTTTTAAAAAGAATTGAGGAAGATATTTTTCTTAACAATTTATCAGGTCTGGTGCAATAACTCTAGGTTTAGCTACGTAGCTTGAATTACCTACATAGCTTTATTTACCTACCTGAAGTAGCTTTATGTAGCTACTAAATCAACTTATTTCTTAATTTAGCATTTTTCTCAGGATGTGCAGAAAATCACACATTGATGCAGTGATCATTTTCAACTTTTAACTAATCTGAAAACAATTCATGAAAAAATTACTCCTGAAGATGTAGTTAGAATAATCTAACTGTGTCTCGGGACAAGCCCTCACCACAGTTAGAATATGTCCCATATACTTGCAATGTAGCAAATTGGAGCGGATCCACTCCGAAATGATTTTGAAGAATACAAAGCGAGTTGCACTAGAAATAACTACCAAATTAATCATAACAAACCTTTTCGAGATTGTATATGCCTTTTAACCTAAAAAATAATCCATATAAATACGAAAATTCTATTTTTCTCAACATTTTTCCTCACTTCAAATTTACATGCCTTGTTGACATTAGGATTCATAGAAAATGCACAGAGTTCGAGCTATAGCCCGTGTTTATTTTGCTACATTGCAAATACACGGAACGGATTCTATCGTTAAACCGGGTCTGTAGGACAATATCATTTTAATGATAGAATGTTCCATCTATTGAAGATGTATCTTTTTCTGTGCAATTGCAATCAAAGTTCTGAAAGTTTTGGGGCTATATACAACAGTTACTTTGTGATCAAACAATTACTTAATTCTTAAATAAAATAACAAAGAAGACCAGTTCTGGTTAACATGATAATTGATTGATAATTACTTGTATATTCACCACAATGTGAAGTAATCATACTCATCTAAGCCTCACCGAACACAAGGTAGGAAACAGTTACCCAAACAATGGAATTACATGTTTTGCTTAAAAGTGTTCAAATGCAGCAATGTTTAAACTATCTCTGCTTTGGATTGCTTTTTAAAAAATCCCTAGTATAAACATTAGTAGTCTTTTACTTGCAATTTTTTGTCTTTTTTAAATAAAATGCAAAATTGTGAAAAGTTGCATTGAAATAGCTGATGTAGCTCAATAAAGCTACGTAGGTAATTCTAGCTATGTAGGTAAATGTACCGATTGTACTGGACCTGTTTATAACAGAAATCAATGATTTTGCAAGATTTCACAATCACCTAAAGTTTTTGGTCTTAGTCATAAGTTCTTTTGTAAAACAGGACCCAGACTCATATAAAAACGACATATTCCTCCATCACAATGCAAAATTTTGAATATCTTGAAGTTCAAAATTAAAGAATAAAGAAGTATAACTTGTTCAAGTTACAAATTAAATGTTTAATCATTATGTGCTTAATATTCAGATAAACCGCCACTGCTATGCCCTACTCCCCACCCTCAGCATCCGGACATGGTGGTCCTAGCTGTTTCCAGAAAATGAAGATGGGATTCTTAATGGGTTTCACTGTGGGAATGTCTGCTGGGGCAATATTTGGGGGATTTACTGCTTTAAGGTAGTACTTCTTCAATTCTAATTTCAGTATACATTGTAATAACGTATTCAAATGTAACATGGCTACAATTTTTTCACAGTTGTAATTAATATGCACAGATCATCTAATGTAAACTGTTTGAAATCATATCTCTATTTGCTAAGGCCATAAAAAGGGATTTAATTATCCCTACTTCTTTGAAAAAGACTTTGGTTCAAAAAATGCCTTTTTTATATGGAAGACTTTTAGAATATATCAGATTCAATAAAAATGTACTAGATAATAAGGATTCAAAAACATGGACACAAACTATAACAAAGTTGCCTGTAGCCAGATCATGAACACCATATACACTCACAATTTTTTTTATTGTACATGTAAATTTCTTTTAGATATGGTGTCAGGGGAAGGGAGTTGTTACACTTAACAGGAAAATCAATGCTACAGTCTGGCGGAACCTTCGGAACATTTATGGCTGTAGGAACAGGAATCCGATGTTAAAAATTCAGACCAAATGTGATAAATATTTCAATATATTTGACTGGACATCACACATTCTCAAAGTATAATATAATTTCTTAAGAAGATTTACAGAATTTTGACAATAATGATTGACAATGAACCCATTATTGTTCTATAGTTCAGCAGAAACATGATGTGTGATGTACCAAACCACTGTGTGATTTTTTGCCATAAGGACAAATACCACATCTTGTAAAATGATCATTTGACTATTTTATGCACTGTCCATATTTGTAAATAAATTATTATGAAGGTAATTAAAAATAATTTTTCTTTTAATACATATTAAATGAAGCACTTAACATGCCTAGGTAATTACATGTATGTATGTTCTTTGAAGAGAAAAATAAATTATGTATAAGCTGCATACCTTCACTCGAGGCTTGACTGGTCTGATCCAGTGGATTTATTATGCCTGGATAATTTTGTCCAAAAGAGAGGTGTCGAATCACATGACTCAAATTAAACTAAAATTAAATAAATTTATTACTCATGCCATTAATAATCATAATCTTTTGGGCAAACAGGGACAGAAAACAAGTATGTCATGTGTATAAATTGACATGTACAGCTAAACTTCGAAATCTCGAACACGGATATCTCGAATACCCCGGATATGTCGAAGTAAGGCCGCGGTCCCGACGAAATTTGCTTTATAAATGATTAAAATAAACCCCTCTATGTCGAACAAGGTAATGTCGAATACTCCGGTTATCTCGAAGTAAAATTGTGTATCCATTCATTAAAATCACATGCGTTATCTCGAAGTCAGGATAATTTTCCGCTCTGATGATCAAGTCTGTTAGGTAAACTGAATGCTCTATTGATAACAACCACCTGTCTGTCACGCACGGGTTATCTGTGTTCCTGTGACCAATAGATAATAGCGCGATAATTATAGGAGGTGTATGTATGGCTTACTTTTATTTTAATTATGCAAGCCAAAGGTTGTGTGTATTAGTCTTATGCATACGCATGGATGACACGTTAATTGTTTTGTGGCTGGGGTACTTTATCTTGATAATCACTATTTAATGCTATGTGTAATATGCGCTCTTGCATAGTTTATGCATATGAAAGCGAAAATTATAAACATCAATGTGAAACAAAATTCTGTAATTTAATGCAATAAGTATTTATTTTTCCTATATGAGTGCGCAGAATTTACAACCGTCAGTACACACCATCATGTAAGCGTGTGTTGCAGTGAAAACTCGAGTTGTGCTATAGTGCCTTATGATTCAGCGTTGTTCTGTAGTTAGACAAAAGTGCGTGTTTCTTCTTTTCATTTGATTTTAATACGGTAAAATATTTCCTTTTAACTGATTATACATGTATGAACATGTTTTTCCAATAATAAAAAAAAAGTATATATATATATATATATATATATATATATTTCGTTTGCGTTATTCTGACAGCGACCGGTTTTAAATTTACAATGCATAGATGATATCCGGTTATGTATACATGGGAAACGATGCTAGCAGTTGACTTGCCGGGTTGGTAGAAGGATTATACTTCTGTTCATATTATAAAAAGTTTTTATTTTGTGAATTATAAAGAGGATGTAAAAATCTTTTTAATGCTAAATACATGATTGTATATTAAAGAAATCGTAAACAAAGTTTCAAACAGGAAGGAATTTTACATATTTCTACTATTAAGTGCATGTTCACTGCACTAAGTATATTTGAAGTTCATTAGAATTATAACCCTCTATATGTCGAACCCCCGGATATCTCGAAGTTCATCAACGGTCCCGTCAACTTCGAGATAACGAAGTTTAACTGTACTAGTATCTGAATATCCTGGTTCATAACTTAAAAAACTGAATAAATTAAAGCTTCTCCACATTACAGTCAGCTACCCTTAATTAACTCGGGTGACTATGGTTTAAAGCTGAACACGACTCGTAAGTAGGCATATGCCATATTAGTTTTCCTATCTCCGATTTCAGCATTCGTTACACCTGACTGCTTTCTTTCTTGTCACGGATACCTTCGTGGAATGGATGTGTTAGTGTTGGTTATCTCACATTACCTTTGTTTACATTTTATTGCAGTTTACGTATTTATGTTTGTTTGCACTGCATTGACCTGTGCAACTGATGCAAGTTTCTTTGGTAATTTTTTCTTCTGCTGTGGAAGAAGCACACAGTCACTTTTGTCACTGAGAGATTTACAATAGTTACGTAGAATACATGTGTACGTCTGCCCACACCAGTGAAAACTGATTAAACCGAATCGAGACCAAGTGAACGGCTTCTATAGGGGCCGTACAGCTAACAGAAAATGCAGAGTAATATGGCAGACAAACATAGATATCTGCCTTTTACAAATCGTGTTCAGCCTTAACTAACAATACACCCACTCTGGGTAAATCAACCAACCATGTAGTCAGTTAACTTAATTAAATTGATAAAAATACACTGTGGACATGAGGTGAATTAAATATTGCAAGATAATTAATATAGGTAAAGCTGATCCTGGTTAGGCTTAAGAAAAATATATTTGTTTACTATTATATGTACATGCTATAAAAAAAATATAGGGTTGGTGGTAAGATTTGTGATTTTTTTTTTTTTTAAATATTTTTATTTCACATAAGCTTAAAGGCATAACTGTGAAATATATTTTTAAGACCACAAGATGCCCATTTTTAATAGCCATAAAATCTTTTTTATTTACCATATACTGACAAGCGCTAAAATGGCTACTAAAAGGTGACCTTACAACCTTCAAACCATTAGGTTTGAAGAAAAATGTAAAGACAAGCAATTTTCTGATTTTACAACAAAAAAATTTATACTTGGGTTGACACATAAAATTAATTTTGTAAACAACCATATTTTTTTCTTAGGCCTTAATATACTGTATGAAGTTTTGTTACCTTTTGTCCACCAAATGCTTGCAGATCATGCACTAAAAAAGAGAAAATAAGTATTGAGTTGAACATATTAATAAACATAGGTAATCAAAGATTACATAGCTCATCTCAATGAATGTTATCTACAAGTACGGTAAGGCAAAGTCTCGCACCAAACAAATGTTCTGGTAGTGTGCACCCATATACATTTAATATTTATCAAATGTGAATGGAAAAGTGAAATAACTTCTCTCAGTAGAATACAAATTAATAGAGCCCTTCCCAGGGCCAGAACGCTTAACCAAACGGTCCAGATGTTAAAAAATCTGGTAAAAATACCCTTGCTTATATTATTAAAATTTTATTCAGTTTGCCTCCAATATGCCCAGAAGCAGAGAAGAATTTTACAGGTACAATGGTTTTTTTCACTACAGATTCAACAAAGCCCTACCCTAACACCAGAACCCAAGACTCAGGGTCAAGAAATATACAAATTTGGAAGAGTTACCCTCATCATCATAATTATGCATTTCAATGAATTAACACATTTCCACTATATTATCAAAATCCCCCTCCCAGAAGATTTTCAAAGAATTAATGCATTTTCACTATATAATCAATACAGCCCCACCCTAACATCAGAACCCCTGACCCAGGGGCCATGAAATTTACAATTTTGGAAGAGGCAACCTCACTCATCATAACTATGCATTTAGTTTGTTTGCATAATACCAAGGAGCAAAGGAGAAGATTTTTAAAGAAACAATGCATTTTCACTATATATTCAACAGAGCCCCACCCTAGTACCAGAACCCCTGACCCTGGGGCCATGAATTTCATAATTTTTAGAGAGGGCTCAATCTTTATTACAATCATGCCAACAGTTTGACTGCTTGATGTCCTGGAGTAAAGAAGAAGATTTTAAAGATTGCATTAATTTTAGTGGTTTTGGCCCCATCCCTCAGCCCCAAGGGGGGGGGGGGGCAGGGACTATGAAATTCACAATTTTCATTCCCCTTCACCCATAGATGCTACTGGGGAATCACTTTAATTCATGGGAGTCAATGTTCGTGGGTAAGTAAAACTTTACTTGTTCTTGGGGACGTAATTTCGTGGCTTACTCGTTTATACAGAAGATTCAATGAATCAATATGTTTACAAAATAAACGTTCGTGGAGATTTAAATTCGTTGGTAAGGGTGACCCATGAAATACACGAACATTGGTCCCCCACGAACAATGATGATTCCACAGTATATGCCAAAATTGGTTGAAATTGGTTGAGCGGATCCAGAGAAGAAGCTGAAAATGTTGAAATGTTCACGGATGTCGCACGACAACGGACGAAAACAGATAGTCATAGGTCATCTTAGTTTACTCAGGTGACCTAAAAAAGCATTATAGGCTAAACATTTCATGTAGTGGGGCCCAACATTTCTGAAGTTTTAAATATGTGTGTAATCACTTAAAGAATCACTGTCTATTTTGTTGGGTATGCCAGTTGATTAATGACAATTTGAAACATGGGATAATTTACATATGGGGCAAAGCCCGTTATGCATAAATTATCCGTATCCAACTGTTGTTAATGTCCCTGCCATACCCAACATACTAGATAGTGATTCCTTATATTTACATTTGTATGTGAAATAAAAAGGTAAATATAGATAAAAAATACTGTCAAATAGATATGAAATGCATGAGGCATCCATGCTAATTTCCATAGTCCCCACCACATGACAGCTACAGAAAATTGACATGTATATTAGGCACTTGACCTTTCACTTGGCAAAATTTGCATACAGTTGTAAATATTGTGAAATCAACACACTTTTAAAAATTTCTCAGAGTTATCACAGAGGAGAGAGTTGGAATATATATTCATGTATAACAACACCATAAAGATCTTTCGTAGTAACTAACATTTAAAATGTAATTTGCATAAGTATTCAACTTCAGACTTTAAATAATTGATGTCTCCTTGACCTTTTATTTCAATGTCAAAAGGGGACAAGACAATGTAGAAATCAATAGAGCTGGTACATTTGAAATGATATGAAAATTAAGAAGAAAGATGTAAGATAGTGACCAACCATGGACGTGATGCTGCTGAAAACTCTTGCCAGGAGCAAAATGGAAATTTCCCTGGACCTTGTTGACCTCTAAGTATCCATAAACTTGACACCCTTCCTTTTCCTGGGCCTTCATTTTAGCTGTCCATCCCTCCCTATTGCACTGTTCTATCCCCTCTGGTGAATTGAAGGCCCATCCTTTCTTACGATATGCTTCTCTCACATCTTCACATGTATTACAGCATCTGTAGTTATTAAAAAATTCTTTAAGTATACTGTTCTTGACATTCAGTGGTGTGAATTCTCTCACAATATATGCCAAATAACAGGTATTTTCTGTGGTTGGAAATTTTTGCGATTTAACCCCTGAAAAGTAGCAAATTAATTTCTGCATTTTGAATTTCTGCGGTTGCATTATACCACAAAAATTATTTATGGGGTATGATTACCAAACTCTAAGGATAAGCAGAACACTGCCACATTTACATTTCATAAATTCATTAAGACATGATGATCAAAGGTGCATGAGAATTGGTATTAAGCTATTAAGATTAATTAAGCTACTATCTTTTAGTTAGTACTGTGGAATCATCATTGTTCGTGGGGGTCAATGTTCGCTGGTAACCAAAATTTGACTGGTTCGTGGGGACGTAATTTCGTGGGTAACTTGCATATTTTATTAAGATAAATAAATCAACTGTGCTAAATATATGTGAGTTTCAATGTTCGTGGGGACATTAATTCGTGGGTAAGGGCTACCCACGAAATCAACGAACATTGATCCCCCACGAACAATGATGATTCTACAGTATTCATAATCTATTTTCAGATTTTTTTATTTCATATGTAAGCAAAATTCTTTTTTCTAAGAATATAGAATATAGAAAGAAGTTCTGAAATAACATTAAAACATGTTGACTGACACATGCACCACTTATCATATTTGCATGTATAAAATAGCTGAATAAAAATTGAAGAATATTTTGCGATTGTAATTTTTGCGGATTTGTCCTATCTACAAAAATTGGACAACTGCAGAAAATACCCATTATTACAGTATACTAATATCCCCTCAAACCAAAATGAACTAAATATCTTTGTATTACTGAGAATATATTTTTAGATTTATACATTAGAATACAAAACTAATTCATATAATTTATGGTTGTGCCCCATCAAAAATTGTCTTATGACCTTTTTTTTTTCAAAATAAATTTGAAATTGTTTCCTTTGGTTTTGCATGCCTTGTATATGTTGATACACATGTAATAGTAAAGCATTTTTGTCCCCCCCCCCTCTCCTTTCACCGAATGTGGGGGGTATAAGTTAGGTCTGTCCATCCATCTATCTGTCTGTCATTCTGTCTGTGTGAATTAAGCACTTTTGTTTCAGGACGATATCTTCAAAAGTCTTTGAGCTTTTGTGATGAAATTCCATATAACAACTTCTTTTTGCCTAAAACACACCCCCTTTTGATTTTGAGGTCAAAAAAGTCAAGGTCAGAAATTCATACATTCCTTCTGTTTGTAACACTTTTATTCCCGGAAATATTGTAAAAAGCCTTAGGGATTTTGCAATGTAATTTTATATCACAACTCCATATGGCCTAAAGAAAACCCATACTGATTTTTGAAAAGGTCAAAACTTAAGGTCAGAAATTCATACAGTTACTGCAAAAAAAGATTTCCAGATGATAAGTTTAATTCTCTTTGAGTTTTTACAATGAAGTTATATATCTTAACTCTTTGTGGCTTAAAGATCCCTTTTGATTTTTAGGTCAAAAGGCCAAGGCCAAAAATTCATATCTTGCATAAAATGGCTTCCTGATGATAACTCTAGTTCTCTGAGAGGTTTTGAAATTTTTATAACTTAGTCAATATGACTTTTAAAAAGACTCTTATTGATTTTGAGAACAAAACAAAGACAAAGTTCAGAAATTTATATATTGGGTACATAGTTTTCAGGTGATAACTTTAGTTCTCTTTAAGCTTTTGCAATAATAAAACTTAAGGTCATGAATTTCTTTAACATAAAATTTGACGCCCATTGACTTAAAGGCCAAAAGCTGGAAGGTCAATGTTGACCTTTTTCCCCTCCATTTGGAATTTTTTTTAAAAGTTCTTCTGCACTTTTTTCCTCCCTTAAACTGGGGCACAAATTCTTTGAATTAGCTTGTTACATGTATCTACCTGTTTTGCAAGCAGCAAATTATTCATGACCAAGACATCACATTTTCAAAGTAACAGGTGATTTAAGTCAGTATATTTACATTTTCCAATGTCTTTCTCTGAGATAAAACTACAAATAAGGTAATGGCTTTATAACCCCATAAAGCGATTTGCTCAGCACGTGACAGAATGGCATGCTTTTTCGCTGCGTGTTGCTTAGTGATACACCTGACAGGGATGCTGAGATTTCTTTATATTGAATTTTTCTTTTTATTGAATCAAAGATCTGGTAACAAGAAGTCTGTGAGCCAATGCTCACTAGTAACACTCCCGCTTTGATGTGAATATACATTTTGATGTGAATGTACACAAGTTAAGTTACAGACAGACACAAGGATGAACAAGAAGTTAACATCAGATTCGTACAAAAATGAATCCCACCATATTGCAGGCCTAAACAAAGAGTGTGCTAAAATTTCAAGCATCTGCAATCAGTAGTTGCTGAGAAAACTGCGACCAAAATTTGTTATGTATGGTTCGGACAGACACACAGATAAACAGGAAGTTGACATTGGATTCGTACAAAAATTTATCCCACCATTTGGCATGCCTAAACAAAGAGTGTGCTAAAATTTCAAGCATCTGTAATCAGTAGTTGCTGAGAGAACTGCGACCAAAATTTGTTATGTATGGTACAGACAGACACAAGGATAAATAGGAAATTGACATTAGATTCGTACAAAAATGAATCCCACCATATGGCATGCCTCAACAAAGTGTGTGCTAAAATTTCATGCATCTGCGATGAGTAGTTGCTGAGAAAACTGTGCTGAAAAATTTGTTATGGACAGACAGCTAGACAGACACACAAGGGTAAAACAGTATACCCCCTCTCCTTCAGAGCGGGGGTATAAAAATGTAAATATAAGGAATAACTGTCTGGTTTTTTGGTTTTATGATGATGAAACTAAATATCTTTGTATTACTGAGAATATATTTTTAGATTTATACATTAGAATACAAAACTAATTCATATAATTTATGGTTGTGCCCCATCAAAAATTGTCTTATGACCTTTTTTTTTTCAAAATAAATTTGAAATTGTTTCCTTTGGTTTTGCATGCCTTGTATATGTTGATACACATGTAATAGTAAAGCATTTTTGTCCCCCCCCCCTCTCCTTTCACCGAATGTGGGGGGTATAAGTTAGGTCTGTCCATCCATCTATCTGTCTGTCATTCTGTCTGTGTGAATTAAGCACTTTTGTTTCAGGACGATATCTTCAAAAGTCTTTGAGCTTTTGTGATGAAATTCCATATAACAACTTCTTTTTGCCTAAAACACACCCCCTTTTGATTTTGAGGTCAAAAAAGTCAAGGTCAGAAATTCATACATTCCTTCTGTTTGTAACACTTTTATTCCCGGAAATATTGTAAAAAGCCTTAGGGATTTTGCAATGTAATTTTATATCACAACTCCATATGGCCTAAAGAAAACCCATACTGATTTTTGAAAAGGTCAAAACTTAAGGTCAGAAATTCATACAGTTACTGCAAAAAAAGATTTCCAGATGATAAGTTTAATTCTCTTTGAGTTTTTACAATGAAGTTATATATCTTAACTCTTTGTGGCTTAAAGATCCCTTTTGATTTTTAGGTCAAAAGGCCAAGGCCAAAAATTCATATCTTGCATAAAATGGCTTCCTGATGATAACTCTAGTTCTCTGAGAGGTTTTGAAATTTTTATAACTTAGTCAATATGACTTTTAAAAAGACTCTTATTGATTTTGAGAACAAAACAAAGACAAAGTTCAGAAATTTATATATTGGGTACATAGTTTTCAGGTGATAACTTTAGTTCTCTTTAAGCTTTTGCAATAATAAAACTTAAGGTCATGAATTTCTTTAACATAAAATTTGACGCCCATTGACTTAAAGGCCAAAAGCTGGAAGGTCAATGTTGACCTTTTTCCCCTCCATTTGGAATTTTTTTTAAAAGTTCTTCTGCACTTTTTTCCTCCCTTAAACTGGGGCACAAATTCTTTGAATTAGCTTGTTACATGTATCTACCTGTTTTGCATGCAGCAAATTATTCATGACCAAGACATCACATTTTCAAAGTAACAGGTGATTTAAGTCAGTATATTTACATTTTCCAATGTCTTTCTCTGAGATAAAACTACAAATAAGGTAATGGCTTTATAACCCCATAAAGCGATTTGCTCAGCACGTGACAGAATGGCATGCTTTTTCGCTGCGTGTTGCTTAGTGATACACCTGACAGGGATGCTGAGATTTCTTTATATTGAATTTTTCTTTTTATTGAATCAAAGATCTGGTAACAAGAAGTCTGTGAGCCAATGCTCACTAGTAACACTCCCGCTTTGATGTGAATATACATTTTGATGTGAATGTACACAAGTTAAGTTACAGACAGACACAAGGATGAACAAGAAGTTAACATCAGATTCGTACAAAAATGAATCCCACCATATTGCAGGCCTAAACAAAGAGTGTGCTAAAATTTCAAGCATCTGCAATCAGTAGTTGCTGAGAAAACTGCGACCAAAATTTGTTATGTATGGTTCGGACAGACACACAGATAAACAGGAAGTTGACATTGGATTCGTACAAAAATTTATCCCACCATTTGGCATGCCTAAACAAAGAGTGTGCTAAAATTTCAAGCATCTGTAATCAGTAGTTGCTGAGAGAACTGCGACCAAAATTTGTTATGTATGGTACAGACAGACACAAGGATAAATAGGAAATTGACATTAGATTCGTACAAAAATGAATCCCACCATATGGCATGCCTCAACAAAGTGTGTGCTAAAATTTCATGCATCTGCGATGAGTAGTTGCTGAGAAAACTGTGCTGAAAAATTTGTTATGGACAGACAGCTAGACAGACACACAAGGGTAAAACAGTATACCCCCTCTCCTTCAGAGCGGGGGTATAAAAATGTAAATATAAGGAATAACTGTCTGGTTTTTTGGTTTTATGATGATGAAACTAAATATCTTTGTATTACTGAGAATATATTTTTAGATTTATACATTAGAATACAAAACTAATTCATATAATTTATGGTTGTGCCCCATCAAAAATTGTCTTATGACCTTTTTTTTTTCAAAATAAATTTGAAATTGTTTCCTTTGGTTTTGCATGCCTTGTATATGTTGATACACATGTAATAGTAAAGCATTTTTGTCCCCCCCCCCCCTCTCCTTTCACCGAATGTGGGGGGTATAAGTTAGGTCTGTCCATCCATCTATCTGTCTGTCATTCTGTCTGTGTGAATTAAGCACTTTTGTTTCAGGACGATATCTTCAAAAGTCTTTGAGCTTTTGTGATGAAATTCCATATAACAACTTCTTTTTGCCTAAAACACACCCCCTTTTGATTTTGAGGTCAAAAAAGTCAAGGTCAGAAATTCATACATTCCTTCTGTTTGTAACACTTTTATTCCCGGAAATATTGTAAAAAGCCTTAGGGATTTTGCAATGTAATTTTATATCACAACTCCATATGGCCTAAAGAAAACCCATACTGATTTTTGAAAAGGTCAAAACTTAAGGTCAGAAATTCATACAGTTACTGCAAAAAAAGATTTCCAGATGATAAGTTTAATTCTCTTTGAGTTTTTACAATGAAGTTATATATCTTAACTCTTTGTGGCTTAAAGATCCCTTTTGATTTTTAGGTCAAAAGGCCAAGGCCAAAAATTCATATCTTGCATAAAATGGCTTCCTGATGATAACTCTAGTTCTCTGAGAGGTTTTGAAATTTTTATAACTTAGTCAATATGACTTTTAAAAAGACTCTTATTGATTTTGAGAACAAAACAAAGACAAAGTTCAGAAATTTATATATTGGGTACATAGTTTTCAGGTGATAACTTTAGTTCTCTTTAAGCTTTTGCAATAATAAAACTTAAGGTCATGAATTTCTTTAACATAAAATTTGACGCCCATTGACTTAAAGGCCAAAAGCTGGAAGGTCAATGTTGACCTTTTTCCCCTCCATTTGGAATTTTTTTTAAAAGTTCTTCTGCACTTTTTTCCTCCCTTAAACTGGGGCACAAATTCTTTGAATTAGCTTGTTACATGTATCTACCTGTTTTGCATGCAGCAAATTATTCATGACCAAGACATCACATTTTCAAAGTAACAGGTGATTTAAGTCAGTATATTTACATTTTCCAATGTCTTTCTCTGAGATAAAACTACAAATAAGGTAATGGCTTTATAACCCCATAAAGCGATTTGCTCAGCACGTGACAGAATGGCATGCTTTTTCGCTGCGTGTTGCTTAGTGATACACCTGACAGGGATGCTGAGATTTCTTTATATTGAATTTTTCTTTTTATTGAATCAAAGATCTGGTAACAAGAAGTCTGTGAGCCAATGCTCACTAGTAACACTCCCGCTTTGATGTGAATATACATTTTGATGTGAATGTACACAAGTTAAGTTACAGACAGACACAAGGATGAACAAGAAGTTAACATCAGATTCGTACAAAAATGAATCCCACCATATTGCAGGCCTAAACAAAGAGTGTGCTAAAATTTCAAGCATCTGCAATCAGTAGTTGCTGAGAAAACTGCGACCAAAATTTGTTATGTATGGTTCGGACAGACACACAGATAAACAGGAAGTTGACATTGGATTCGTACAAAAATTTATCCCACCATTTGGCATGCCTAAACAAAGAGTGTGCTAAAATTTCAAGCATCTGTAATCAGTAGTTGCTGAGAGAACTGCGACCAAAATTTGTTATGTATGGTACAGACAGACACAAGGATAAATAGGAAATTGACATTAGATTCGTACAAAAATGAATCCCACCATATGGCATGCCTCAACAAAGTGTGTGCTAAAATTTCATGCATCTGCGATGAGTAGTTGCTGAGAAAACTGTGCTGAAAAATTTGTTATGGACAGACAGCTAGACAGACACACAAGGGTAAAACAGTATACCCCCTCTCCTTCAGAGCGGGGGTATAAAAATGTAAATATAAGGAATAACTGTCTGGTTTTTTGGTTTTATGATGATGATCAATCAATTTGCTCGTGTGATAATTTTACGCATAAACGCCTTTGATGTTTATGCAAATTATCAAGCGAGCACATTGATTGATCACATCATAAAACAAACAAGAGGCCCATGAGCCACATCGCTCACCTGAACACATTGGGTGGGAAAAGGAGCAAATCAGTTCAGTATTGAAAAGTTTAAAAGGGGGGGGGGGGGGCTTGAATTTTAAACTACCTGAGGATGCTTCCATATCAATATAACAAATGGCTTTACTGTTGTTGAGCAGAAGATTTTGAAAGATTTTTTCCTATATATTCCCTTGTTCAAAATTTGATCCCCCATTGTGTCCCCCCCCCCAAGTGGGGGGGGGGGATCATCATTTGAACAAACTTGAATCTACTCTACCTGAGGATGCTTCCAATATGACTTAACATGGCTTTTCTGTTCTTGAAAAGATTTTTTTCTATATATTCCTATGTAAAACTTTGATCCCCCATTGTAGCCCCACCTAACCCTGGGGGGTTATGATTTGAACAAACTTGAATCTACACTACCTGAGGATGCTTCCATATCCATATGACCAATCATGGCTTCGCTGTTCTTGAGAAGAAGATTTTTAAAGATGTTTTCCTATATATTCATATGTAAAACTTTGATCATCCACTGTGGCCCCACCCTACCCCCGGGGGTCATCATTTGATTAAAGTTGAATCTACACTACCTGAAGATGCTTCCATATCAATATGACCAATCATGGCTTTGCCATTCTTGAGAAGAAGATTTTTAAAGATGTTTTCCTATATATTCCTATGTAAAAGTTTGATCACCCATTGTGACCCCACCCTAGCCCCGGGGGTCATGATTTAAACAAACTTGAATCTAAACTACCTGAGGATGCTTCCATATCAATATGACCAATCCTGGCTTTGCTGTTCTTGAGAAGAAGATTTTTAAAGATTTTTTCCTATATATTCCTATGTAAAACTTTGATCCCCCATTGTAGCCCCACCTAACCCTGGGGGGTTATGATTTGAACAAACTTGAATCTACACTACCTGAGGATGCTTCCATATCCATATGACCAATCATGGCTTCGCTGTTCTTGAGAAGAAGATTTTTTCCTATATGTTCCTATGTAAAACTTTGATCGTCCATTGTGGCCCCATCCTACCCCCGGGGGACATGATTTTAACAAACTTGAATTTACACTACCTGAGGATGATTCCACATGAGTTTCATCTTTCCTGGACCAGTGGTTCTTGAGAAAAAGATTTTTAAAAGATGCTATTAATTTTTCACTAATTTGTAATTATCTCCCCTTAGAAGAGGGCATGACCCTTCATATGAACAAACTTGAATCCTCTTCACTCAAGGATACTTTGAGGCATGTTTGGTTTGTGAAAAATGTGAAAAGTTTACAGACAGACAGACACCGGACAAAATGTGATCAGAAAAGCTCACTTGAGCCTTCGTCTCAGGTGAGCTAAAAAACTACAGGTAACTCTTGATGGCTCGAACTTCGATCTCTCGAAGTTCTTGATCGCTCGAAGTGAGTCTCCGGTCCCGAATTTTTCCACTATATAACTAAGCAAATTTACTCTTGATTTCTCGAACTCTTGATCTCTCGAAACCCTTGATCCCTCGAAGTCAAAATGCAGTCCCACTATGCATATTCTATTAGAATTTACCCTCGATACCTCGAAGTGGCTATGTGTATACTAGATTATGTAATTAGCCCTTTACCTGGACATTTAAATGGCCCCAGGCAGAAGACGCAGGTCTCGAGGAACGTGATGTTTATTCAGGTGACACTTATGCTGCAAGGTGATAATTGATTTATAATTAATCATATTTTGCCTATATGCTATTAAAATAATTATCATCGACTGTCTTACGATAATTTAGAGACGCAGTGTCATTGAAAAGTAGTAATTGATTAAAAGACAAAACACTAATTTAATTTTTATTTCGAGACAGTGTCAAAGTCAAACGAAATATGAAAAAAAGCAGAAACAGCCTCAATGTCAATATGACGACTATTATTGGACAAATACTTGCAGAACTGCGTTCAATGATCATTTTTGGAATTGTCAAAGCTATGTGCGACGCTGTAAAATGACGTTTTCATGTAACGAATGCATGTATGATGTCCGTAATACGAAGAATAAATAAATATACATGAAATGACGATATACATTTTTTGCTTTACTCAGTTTAATGAAATATTCATCTGAATTACGGAAAAATATCGTTATTTTATAAAAACCACGTGTAAAAGGTTAGCACTGCATGAAAATCATTACATCCGGTAAGACTAATTTTAAAACCTGTCAACAAACCCGGAAAATTCCGGACTCGAACTCTTGATCTCTCGAAGTTTTTCCTAGGTCCCGCGGACTTCGAGGTATCGAGAGTTACCTGTAGACAGAACTTTATTCCTTAAGTCTGCACATACATGTACAAACATTATAAATCACAAAATGACATGTGGTGTTCATGAATTTGTAGAAATAAAAGAAATATAATCTGCATGAACATCTTGAGAAGTTAAACAATGAAAATAATAAGCTTACTTATGTTCACTTGACTCGGCCCCATAGCAACTTTCACATCGGTCAGGGTCTAACTTTTTTGTTGCAACCTAAAAATCAAATATCAAGATTATTAACAATAAATAAATACAAAGTAATTCTTGAACTTTAATAGGATGTATCGGGGATACTGTAAAATTACACTGCAGGTAACTTGATGGCTGTTGTGCATTAACAGATTTCCAGAGAAATGAAACTCTACCTGTTAACAACATGGACTTATGATATTTTTCCTATGTATATTTGAATTTTGATACAAAAGAAGTAACAACACAAAGATCTATTGAAATAATGTATGATAGGAATCTCCATATGGCACTGTTTATCAAAATTAGAGTTTTAAATTGTTTACCTTCTGGTATTCTCTAATAATATTGTTCAATGAATCAGACAAATCCAGAAGGATGAATAATAAATTGAAATTATTTACGATCCAACAAAGACTTTATGAGGAATAAATTTTTAAACAATGTTCATAGACCTCAGACACACACAGAGAGACAACAGAAAGTCTAAACAGTTTTGGTCTGTAACAAATAAAGCTGCAGCTCTCTGGGAAATTAAATTCAAACAGACACATCAGACCCACTCACTAAACAGGCCCACAAGCCACAATGCTCACCTGAGTCACCATGGCCCTTTCTGTTCTTTATCAGCAATTTTTTCCCCTATATATTCCTATGTAAAACTTTGTTTGCCTATTGTGACCCCAACCTTATCTCCAGGAGTTATGATTTGAATAAACTTGAATCTACCTAAAGATGCTTCCATATTAATATCAATACTCATGACTTTGCTATTCTCAAGAAGAAGATTATTAAAGGTTTTTTACAAGTACAGTTGAACTTTGGTATCTCGAACACGGATATCTCCAACACCAATTGCTTATTCCTGAAGTATTTTACCCTGGATATCTCAAACCCTCGGATATCTCAAAGTATTTTCTCGGTCCCATCGGGTTTGAGATAATAAAGTTTGACTGTATATACATGTATTCCTATCTAAATCTTTGATCACATATTGTGGCCCCATCCTACCCCACAAGTAACAAAAATAAGATTAGGAGTAAAATATATGTTTTATTAACAGATACCATGCTACAGGCAAAAGAAATGCATTTAATGTGAAAAATAATACCTGAAACTTGCAATAAAAAATGTATGTAAATCAAAGGTTTTTACAATGGATCTTTAGGCAATAGCCCTCTTTTATGTCTGTCCAAATTTAATTTCCCAGAGAGCTACATGTCTTCAACTATGACAAATAGATGATTTATCATTTAATGTGAACATTCCATTCTACTGAGTTATTATACAAGTACATGCAAACCAACCACAATAAATTCTATACCTCAACAATATCTTTGGACTTATCTCCAAGCTCTGAAAAAGAATATTATAGATTAAGCAACTACAAATCCTTTATCCAGTGATATTTCTAACAATAATTAGCAACTAAAAGAATATAAAAGAAGTTTTAAAAATATTTCTACAATTTCTAATCAATCACCAATTCCATGCTTTGCCTGCCAGTAATGTAATAATGTGCTATAAGTGCACTTTCTATGTGACATATTCTTACAAGCTTAGTAATGCCCATACCGTGTATAAATTTGATCTACTTCACACATCTCACATTTTTGACAATCCTATCATTTTCTAGATATCAAAGTTCAACTGTATGTACATGATTAAAAACAGGATTATCATAACGATGTTCCTAAATACAGGTGTGAATGTGTAAATGTTTTGCTGTATATCTACCTTCTTTTTCTGGTTCAATATCTTTAATTTTCTGTCCACTTGTGTCAAGTCTCTGTTTGTACAAGTGATGGTCTACATCCAGCTGTTGTTCACCAGAGACATCCATAGCATCTATACTTAAATCTACAAAGACATCCACAACACTTAAATCTATAGAGACATCCAGAGCATCTATACTTAAATCTACAAAGACATCCACAACACTTAAATCTATAGAGACATCCAGAGCATCTATATTTAAATCTACAAAGACATCCACAGCACTTAAATCTATAGAGACATCCATAGCACCTATACTTAAATCTATAAAGATATCCACATCACCTATACTTAAAACTACACAGGCATCCACAGCACCTATACTTAAATCTATAGAGACATCCACAGCACCTATACTTAAATCTACACAGACATCCATATCACCTATACTTAAATCTATAAAGACATCCATGTCACCTATACTTTAATCTACACAGACATCCATATCACCTATATTTAAATCTATAAAGACATCCATGTCACCTATACTTTAATCTACACAGACATCCATATCACCAATACTTAAATCTTCACAGACATCCACAGCACCAATACTAAAATCTACACAGGCATCCATATCACCTATACTAAAATCTACAGAGACATCCATAGCACCTAATAAAGTATACTTAAATCTACACAGACATCCATATCACCTTTACTTTAATCTACACAGGCATCCATATCACCTATACTTAAAATCTATAGAGACAATCATAGCACCTATACTTAAATCTTCACAGACATCCACAGCACCTATATTAAAATCTACACAGACATCCATATCACCTATACTTATGAGGGGTGATCAAAAAGTTCATGAACTAATTGTATTACTTCCATAAAAGAAATAAAATTAGGTTTCAGTGTTTATTATTTTTTAAAAGTACATGTAGTCAAATCAATTTTAATGCACATCTGCCACCGTTCTGCCCATGCACGAATCATATGATCCAGGCGGTCACGTGACATGCTCCGTAGCGTTCTGTTCACAGTAGCTAAAAGATTTTTTCCGAGTCTTATATTTTTTACCATGCAAGTTATTTTAATTTTTTAACAAGAACAGTCCATTTGTCACAAATGGACAAATCTCGGCAATAGGAAGGGTGGATATAAGGATATCTTTTTTCCAGAATGAGCATGGTGACCATCACAACCGGACTCCATTGTCTTGTGTGCGTCGTTTTTCCATTCAGGATAAAGTAGGGGTGCCTTTGTTTTATCATATCTGATATGTTTAAAGTCAAAAGTGAAGGATATTTAAGGAATTTAATAATCATATTGTAAATTATTGTCGATATTGAACTATTTTCTCTAACTGTAACTTGGCAATCTTTCATTATGATAACAAATTGCTCTAGACACATCTCTTCCCCAGCTTACTTTCACTGGGCACAAAAACAAACATCATGTTTAACCATCTCCCTTTCTTCACTTAAACATTCAATCCAATTAATGATTGAACTTCTAGCAAGTCTTTTGTCTTCATAAACCTTGTACAAATTATTATATGCTACTGCAAAGGAATTTCCAAGATATACGTTAAACTTTAGAGCTGTTCGTTGCTCAAGTACGAGTGAGTCAACCATTTTTTGTCACAAGTCATCTATATATTGATGTCATTTTCACATTGTGAAGTCACAAACATAGATCAACCATAAAGTCACATCTACTTTTATAGAACATGTTTATGACTATATGTGTGCCAAAGAACAAGGTACAGTTTCAATACAAATCTGGCCCTGTATTTTTCTTAAATATGAAAGTGATGAAAGAAATTAAAATTCATGCTTTCTGAAATGTTGAAACTCCATGCACTAAGGTCAAACAAATTGTTTTTCTCATTTGACTTCCTAAATGCTAATTGTGACGTCATAAACTCGTGCACTTTCCCGTGTTTTCTTAAAAAGTTGCAGAGGACATCAATTTTCAGTGAAATTTTCTTTCAGATAATACAGACCACATGCATCGCTCATTAAGATTTTGAGATATGTGATTTTTTAAAGAATTTTACACAACATATCCAAATATTAAAGTGGGCGACGGCTGTGGACACTATTTTCTCAAGGAAAATACCCCCATGAAATGAGTCATTTTCGGGCTTTTTCTGCTGAAAACTTAGAAAAATACGAAATTAATGACGTCATATTTCCAGAATGGTCCTTCTTCATGCCATATTCTTTCATGAATTATCACACTCATATACTCAACTCATATTTATGCCAATTTCAAAACTTTTTGAAAACATTCAATTTTTAGGGCACAATAAAGCCAGAACCGTACCTTCTTCTTTCATTTTGATCTGAATTGTGGTTTTGTAAATATAGAGATAATTCACAAACTTTTTGATCACCCCTCCTAAATCTACAAAGACATCCACAGCACCTTTACTTAAATCTATAGAGACATCCATATCACCTATACTTAAATCTTCACAGACATCCAAATCACCTATACTTAAATCTACACAGACATCCATACCACCTATACTTATACTTAAATCTACACAGACATCCATAGCACCTATACTTAAATCTTCAAAGACATCCACAGCACCTATACGTAAATCTACACAGACATACATAGCACCTATACTTAAATCTACACAGACATCCATATCACCTATACTTAAATCTTCTCAGACATCCATATCACCTATACTTAAATCTTCTCAGACATCCACAGCACCTATACTTAAATCTTCACAGACATCCATATCACCTATACTTAAATCTTCACAGACATCCACAGCACCTATACTTAAATCTTCAAAGACATCCACAGCACCTATACTTAAATCTTCAAAGACATCCACAGCACCTATACTTAAATCTACAAAGACATCCATATCACCTATACTTAAATCTACAGAGACATCCATATCATGTATACTTAAATTTACACAGACATCCATATCACCTACACTTAAATCTTCACAGACATCCACAGCACTTATACTTTAATCTACACAGACATCGGCCTCTCCGTCTGAGTGAAAAATTCTCGAGAGGGACGTTAAACAATAAACAAACAAACATACACAGACATCCATATCACCTATATTTAAATCTTCACAGACATCCACAGCACCTATACTTAAATCTACAGAGGAAATGATTATCTCGTTTATACAATCAATTATAGAATCAAGAAAGAAACTTTTGTTAAATTAGAGTTACCTATGTCACATTTTGTGCAAGGATAACCTGTTTACAGTTTTCTGCAAGTACGTTATCACAGCTCAAAATTAAGCTTTATACCCCCCCCCCCCCCCCCCCACCACACACAAACACACACACTCCATTAATGTAGAGAAACTGACTGGATGTATTTTCTAAAAGTCCCATGAGAAATTGGTCCTCTCAAACATAAAAGATTGAAGAAAAGTGAATCTTATATGTTGCTTTATGCATATTGTTTTGCAATAATATAATTCAGATATTACTTTTTTGTGAAAGCAAACATTTTGTTCCAAATGTCTCACTGCTTTAGCAGGGTTGTGAAAACTTGGAATCAATTAGTAGAGGACATAGCTGGGTAAAATGCTTACTCTAGAAATGGTCAGATTGTAAAAATTGTCAATTTCTATAGGTAATTAAACTGGAATGAATTAACTTGGCATCAACAAAATATTATCATCTTAAATACTATATTTCTTGAACAAATAAAACTTACATGTAAGCATACTACTTAACAAATTTTGAGCTTTGAGGAAATATCAACTATGTTAATTTATTTAAACAAACTCTTTTCAATCCAGTTGAACAGATGTCCACTCAGATATTTGTCAGTCTAGATGGTCATATAAATTTCAAGCCCTGCATGAGTAAGCTATTCTCTCCAGAATTACAAAATAATTGTTACTGTCTGTTAATTTCAGCATATTGTATTAGATTAATATACAATAATTTGGAAACAAGGTGTCTAAAAATTTACAAATCCATTTCTATTATATGTACACTTACATGCACAAGGCACTTTTGGAAAATCTATATCAATGTTGATACGTATCTTCTGTCCTCTTGTTGTATCAACAAATAATTCTGGTTGAACATCTTTTGTAAGATAGAAATTCAGTTCAGAAATAAAGAGTATCACCATCAGAAGAGAGCTAATCACTGTCACTGAAAAATAACATAAGCATATACATGTACATGTATACCATAGGTAGTTACTGTAATATTTTAAATCTGCTACATGTACTCCTTACCTCTAATATCAATAATCAAAACTTATAGGCACCTTAAAAGTGTATTTGATGTATAAATGGTGTCTTCAAGTAGTAAACCTCTTTGACAACAAAAATGAGCAATAATATAATGGGACTGGTCCCTTTGATAAAGCACTCTGCTGGCAATGCCGCAAGGATATGTGGGATTCTAAATTTGAATCTTTGTCCACTTAACCTTATCCCTGCTTATTTCATGTATATCTATACAAAGGACAGTGGAGGGAACCAATACTAAGGCTAACAAATATAGATAGTTTTCCTATGATATACTTTCCACCTGAGTTATTCCCCTTGGTTGCCATCTTGGAAGTCAAGCTGGTGAATTTTCCTCTTTGACCAACCAATTTTACTCAAGTATGGCAGATATATATTGGGAAATATCTTTACAATATCAAAAGTATGAATTAAAGAAGGCTTTAATAAATATATATTTATCAGAAACATAGTATACAGTATTATCTACACCAGAAATGCCCAGTATGACAAGTTTAAATTGGTTGAATAATGAAGGAATCTGGGCATATGGACATCCAGTATGGCAGCCAACAGGGAATAAGTCTTACTAAAATTGTATCTATTAAAAACAATGTATTACATGTAAAAAAAATCTCACTTAATATTCATATACATGTATACTATAATGGAAGTAACCACATAAATTGGGATAATAATTAAGTCTTATTTGGGAAACTGTTCTTGCCAATTTGGAAATTTCAGATAAACTGAATTTGGGAGGATTTATTTATAATATTGTACTTATTTATTATTCAAAGTTTACATACAGTCAAACATGTCATAGTGACCACCTGTATTTACTATTCAGCGACTTCCTGTGATATGCAACCACTAAATTTCCTCCCATGAATTTTTCGTCATATTTTACCAGAATTCAGCAACTCCCTGTCTATAATGCAACATGAGATTATCATTTTTCATCTCAAAGCAGTTAAAGACCCTGAATTTAGTGACATTCATCCCTGTTTTTGATAGCAAAGTAATCTAAACATTTTCTGCATGAACAAGATGGTGAAGTTTAGCAGGATCTAGTCTAGATAATTACCTACCTTTAGTGAACTAGCTATCATGATAATATTAAACATTCAAAAAAAAATTTAACGAACCTTTTAAATAATAGGATATTATGTGCTATGTTTACAGGTATATTTTAAGAAAAATGCTTTAGAAAAGTTTTCTTTTAAAGTAAAGATATATCAAGATTAATTGTGAAAAATTAATTTCACGTGGTTTCACATATATTGTTAATTGTAGATTAATAATTTTTACAAAATTATGTGACCATGTTAAAGTTTAATCCATTCCTAAAACATTGATATAATGTGACACTTTAATGATATTTAAGTACTTAATTAGCATGTTCTAAATGTAATGGTCAGTCATTTCAAATCAGCCAAAATGGCTTCAGGGGGAAGCCAGCCAAACACTCTAGGGAAATGGCAAGAGCGTCAAATGGTGGCAACAGGGGGACAAGAATTAAAGAATTTTCATGTTACATTCATGAAATTAACTCTTTAGGCTGTTTAAAATTAATTCTACATTTAACGTCACCCACGCGTGTAGGTTTAGGAGAAATCTGTCTTTGAAAAAAACAAACAATTCAGAATTTCATATATCTGTTCCGGTTTGGTTCTACATTTATCGACTTAATTCTGCATCCCGTAGTGACAGAAAATGTGCTTTGATACCGAAGCTCGAAGTTTGTGTCTTATTAAAAGAAAACTAGTGAATTAAACAGTATGGGATCATAAATGTAAGTAAAAAATAGATGATTTTATGATTGAAGTTAAGGACAAGGTCTAGATTGTTGAGTTTTTATCAGTCTTCGTATCACACTGACAGACTCTCAGTTCGTAATTATGTTGGCTGAACTATTCATTGTATTTAGAGAGAATTGCAAAACTTTTTACTGTCTGAGTGCAAAGTGTGTCAAAAACAAAGATTTTATGATATACAGTGAGATGCTTCATCTAAATTTTATTTAACAGTTTCATCTTAAAATATTTCTGTAAAAATTTAAAGGAACATTAAGATTATTGATATCTTCATAAATGTAGCATTCGTGTACCTACAAATGGCTACATTTTTAGGGAAAGTTCATACTAGTCATTGCCATTTGAGCAGGGAGAAGCTTACAGAAGATAGAGCCTTTCAAGTGAAGGAGAGTAAGGAAAGTGATTGGGGTATTCCAAGAAGTGAAGAATCCTGTCATGTGTGGAATTCGAGGTATAATAATCTAACACCTATGGTCCAAATATAGTATTTACACTTTCAAAACTAAATGCTAGTAGATCTAGTACTATGAGTAAAAATACAGCAGAATTCAATTTTGAGACATTTTTCAATTTTATAATGTTCTACATACTGTCAACATAATTTTAATTGTAGATATCGATCAACTATTCCCACAAGAAGAAGCATTTTCCTACAGGATACCATGGACGTATGGCAATATAAATCCAAAGGACAAATGAGGCCAGTTAAAAGCCACTCTCCTGTACACTCAGTCTACATTGTTTGCTCACAAAAGGATTCAAACCAATATACATACTAAGGAAAAACTCTGTTTAATAGGAAATTAGACTTAGATGTCATATCCAATACTTTTATTACTCAGTAGTGTTTTTTAACATACTGAATAGGTTAATTTGAATAAATTCACAAATGTTTAAAATTTTTGTTTGTTTATTTTTTTTCCTCCCTCCCTCGTAGGTTTTGAACTTTAGAGGTGACGTTAAACGTAGAATTGACTTTGAACAGCCTTACCCCTTAATGTCACGATTTGATGCATTGCATAGCCATATATCCTTAGAGTTTTTGCTTGGCTGACCCTTAGACCATTTTAGACAAACTGGAGTGCAATTTAAAACTGAGTGATCAGGGTCAAAATATTTTATTCACACTATGTATTATTGTATACATAATTAGATTTGTAAACTGTAATAAATTAAAATTTTCAAATCTATTGAGTCAGATTGGAAATTTTTGTAAAGAAATAATCCAGGTGAAAGCAAGTGCAAAGAGCAAGGGCCACTTAGGGCCTTTCTTGGCCCTGTAAATTTCTGAAAAATTAAAACTGCATAATTTTAGTCGATAATGCAATAAATATCACTTGAACACTTGGTGACTGAATTTCTACTAAAAATGATGTCATTTTCTTGCTAGTCAATGCATTATGTCGTCATGAATTGCGTCATTATTCACATATCCCGAATATTTCTTCAAAATGGCCAAAATATGATGCTATTTTTTAATATTTCGTATACAGCACAACCTCCGATCCGAAATGTGCAAATATATCATGAAAGATCTGCTTTTTAAGTTTATAAAACATATTTTAATTTTTGGATCGAGGGGTGTGCTCATATTTTAATTCTTTGTTGAAGGTTCTCAAATTCACCTGTTTTCTGCAAAATTCAAGAACATTGCGATTTCACACAACCTATTTCCAGTACCTGGACTCTTTAGAGGAAACTTTTATATACAAACTGAAAGCGCCAAGTCTCTACTTTATATTGATGTTGAGAAAGGGACATAGTGTGTTAGTGGATAAATTGGTTTATCTACAGGGCCATTTTATGCATAAAGTGAACCTAGCTCTTTATAACAAAATAGATATTTTCAACATGTAAATCAGCTTTATTAATTCAAAATTGTCTGTAGATAATATTAAAAATTATATGTGATGAAATGATTAATGGTAAAATTATAAATTTATTGTCATTTTTAGAAGTTTAATTCCTTAGAACTCCTTAAATTAATTAATAAGCTATTTCAATGTCACCCCCCCCCCCCCCCCTACTAATTTCAGACTTGCGTGATTAAACTAGATTTCTGAACATGTTTGTTTACTCAAATTGTCAAATTATGTTAAAATATTTATTTTCGACATCTTCATATACAGCTGTACCTAAATTTGTGTAAAATGGAAGGTATCTACTGGATTTGTAAGAAATAGGTAACAAAATTGGCACTGCACGGTACCGAATGTACTTCACAACGTTTTCCCAATACTTATCCTAGAGTAATAAAAATTGTTCGTTATAATTTTTAAAAATTTTATTAAATAGCTAGATTATAACTTGAATTTCACGTAATACTTTACTGGATTAAAAAATAATGCATAATTAGCAAGTTTTGTACTCAGGAAAACATCGTAACAACAATTCTTTAATTTGTTTACACAGATAAATCATGTGATTTCTGAGAGTAGTATGATGCAGTCATCTATTGTTAATTTGCAGGTGGCCACCTGTGTAAACAAGCGGTAATTTTAAGCCAAATTAACAACAGAATACGACGGGACCCCAAAAATTTTGAAACCATGACAGCCCTACTTGATATGCCCTTTAATACAGGCTAGACTGTATTTACGGAGTTTGTGGAACCATTATACATTTAAGAGAGACAGACATACATGACTGTTATTTACTTATTTATATGTCTGATGGGAAATACAATAATTCATTTTCAGGAAAAAGGAATGGCTACAAATTTGGGCTAGTTACAAATGTATTTGTAACAGCGAGCGCAGCGAGTGGCGCAAAGCGCTGCTAGCAATGCGAGCTCTAACGACAATGCCTGGGTGAAGAGAAAATTCGGACTTTGCACATTGATCTTAATGAATTTTTTTCCGCAGTAACCTCGAGACCCACAATGCAATGTTTCTTGTTCTTGCTGCTAACTTCGTTCTCGCGGTATATAACAACAACTAAAAATTCACAAAAAATAAACTCGCATTTATTTAATGGATATTGCATACAGATAGTAGATCAAACGTTCTTCGTTAAAATTTTGCACTTTTCAAACTTCATTTATGGAAAATGCTAAAGTACGACGTCATGTGACGTCGCAGTCTAGAAGTTCCAAATGTCTCGTGCTATTTGAAGAGGCGGATCTTAAAATTAAGTGAACAAATGCGCTCGCCCCAACGGTCGCACCGTCAACATATTAAAAGGATCGATTTGAAATCTCAGTGATCAGGGGGAAAATTCAAACAAGAGGATACATTTTGTAAAATATAGGTCGGTTTGAAAAGCTGTTGAAATATTGTACTTCAAAATAGTGGGGTTACAAACCAAGTGCTCCACCGAAAGTTTTTACTCTGAAGTCCTCTAGTGTTTTTGGATATGCATCAAATTGCCGCAGTCTTTCTAAAAGGTTGTTTTCCGTCATGCTGAAGACAGCACACTTCCCGCTATACCCAACTTTGAATAACAGAAGCAACAAATAAGCGATCAGAACGTGTCGAGAACAAAACAGGATGTTGACATCAGTTTGTAACTCTACATATTGGAGAGTGCATATCAAGGGCAATAACTATAGATAGTCTTTTTCAAACCAGACGCTCGGTCTGTTTAGCAAGCTCGTCGGAGTTTACGGAGATAGTCGAGCTCGGGCCTGGTTGAACAAAGACTAGAACTGGTTCATCCTTGCCATGGCAGGAAAAACCCTTAGTGATAATGGCACGAAGGGAACCAGACTAGATCCAGAAAAGGGGGAGGGGTGAACAATGGAAAAAAAAGAAGTTTGATCTTTCCATTTCCTACTTTGATGCATGTGTACACATGTACGTATTCTGCTGTGTACATGAGTTCAATTTAAGGACATACGCAACGTACGCATACGCAACGTACATGTACACAAATTCTACAATGTACCTTTCCCACTGATAGTTTTCTAAGATACTCTCAATTTAAAATCATAGGACTATCAGTGGCGTATATTCCATATAGGCAAAAAAGGCTGTAGCCTTCACATTTTACCAAATTTGTAAAAATTAAATATTGTACTGCAGTATGATTGAAAAGGGGGAAAAACGATAACAAGACAATTATTTTGTTTTATGTCAAATGCAAAAGTAATTAATTTGAGAAAATTGCATTTCACTTATTCAACAATGAAACAAAAATTGTTTACGGGATGTTTTTGTTTTATTAGAAAACCGTAAAACAAATTAGTATTCAAAAAGGAAGTTTCCATATTACATGTATCTAAGCAAGTTGTAAAGGGTTGAACTGTACAAGATTAAAATTTCTTAGTTTTCTTAAGTGGTCATGCCAATTCTATTTTCATAATTGCTAAAAAGAAATATGTATGTATCACTGGCCAAATGACAATCATGGATATGTTTCAACTGCATGTGCATGTACAAATTTCTACGGCAAACAATTTCTTTTTTAATATTTGATACTTAGAATACCAGAATACATGTGTAAAAACGTAATATAAATAGTGAACCAAAATAAAACTTTTTTTTTCATTTTTACTACATAAAATCGCACCATTTGGTCTTTTTTTCGTATTTTTACGGTGGGTGACACCCCCCCCCCCCCTTTAGCAGGTGAACCCTTCTCATACTGACACTTCTCTGAACACAAACACCTCGGAGTATTTTTTTCACACGACGCTAGTTGGTCACTGCATATTGAAAATCTACTGTCTAATGCCTACAAAAAATTATCTCTTTTGAAAAAATTAAAATTTAAAGTAAATCGAAAATCCTTGAAAAATAATAGTACTGTTTACTCTATAGTGGACCTGTACATTTTCTTTTTATTGATCAAGATGGTAGACTAGTATTGGGCACAATTGGCATATTTTTTTCAGACATATATAAGATGTTATTAATAATTTCTATAATATTCATTTATCAGTTTTGAAAGTAAGCCTTAATTTCTACAATATTCTTTTATCAGCTGTTTGTTCTTTTGAAAAGATGAAGTTGAAAGTATAGGCTACTTATATCGTTTTTTTTTTAAAATAAAGTGTTGGGAAACTTCCATAAAAAAGAAAGCGATATTATCAGTGAAGTTTGACATCCCCCCCCCCCCCCCCCAAAGACAAGAAGACGTAAAGAAAATTTTTCTTGGGAGGGAAGTATAAACTTATTATTTCGATACATGTATACATGTACAATGTATATTTTCACTTGAGAACCAGCAACATAAAAAAGGAAAGAAAAGACCCCCCCCCCCCCCTTTCAGTGATTTTTTTTTTCAAATATCACAGCTTTGCATCACGATTGCATTTTTCCCTGTAATGGAAAGAAAAAAATACTAGTTCATTTTTTCTTTATTTTCTTTATCATGCATTAAGGGCAAATGTGTTATGTATAATTGTGTTAACAGATTTTATCCATTAATTTATTCTTATTGTGAGCGAAACAAAAACGATTTAAATGAGATGTTCTTCAGCTGTTTACTTGATTATGCACAATATTCTGTTCCAATTTTTTTTCGACAAAGGCACTATACTACCAGGCAAATATGATACATTGATCAAGAGAATAAATTATGAAATAATCACATTAAATTTCCTAACCTCAAAATGCTTAATTAGTTTTTTAACAATCATATGCAATCAAAACTCAGCTATCAAATTATTTTGAGAAAATTTTTAACCCTTATTTAGCAGCATTTAGATCAGGGTATGGTTGCCAATCTACCCTATTAAGAATCACTGAGGATTGGAAGAGAGCTTTAGATGAAAATAAATATGTTGCTGCTATTTTAATGGACTTATCCAAGGCGTTTGATTGTCTCCCTCATGATCTTGTCCTGCTCAAACTAAAATCTTATGGTCTCTCCCCACCTGCGGTAGATCTGATAAAGAACTATTTGTCTTGCAGAAGACAATGTGTCAAAATTAGTCAAAATATAAGCACCTTACTGGATATCTTTAAAGGTGTACCTCAAGGATCAATTCTTGGACCAGTTATTTTTAATATTTTTATTAGTGACATTTTCTTTTTTGTAAAAAATTCAGACTTGTACAACTATGCAGATGACAACACCTTATCCAAATCAGATCCTATCTTAAAAAATGTTATTACTACACTTGAAAAGGAAAGTGGTACTCTCATCGACTGGTTTTCAGTTAATAAAATGCAGGCAAACCCAGAAAAATTTCAAGCAATAGCTCTGGGGAAAAAGATGCATGATAAACACATTAATTTAAACTTAAATGGTACAACTCTTGCCTGTGAGGAAGAAGTGAAACTGCTTGGTGTTACTTTTGATTTTAACTTAAACTTCAATTCTCATATTTCAAATATTTGTAAGAAAGCAGCTCGACAGTTAAATGTGTTAAAACGTGTCGGGAAACATCTCTGTAAACTGGGTAAACTTACCATCTATCATTCCTTTATAATGTCCAATTTTAGTTATTGCCCTTTGGTGTGGCATTTTATTAGTGAACAGAATTGTAAAAAAATAGAAAAAATTCAAGAGCGAGCACTAAGATTTATATATAATGACTATACAAGCAGTTATGACCAGCTACTACTAAAATCAAACCTCCCTTCACTGAAAATCAGGCGTATGAGAGCCATGGCCCTCGAAGTCTTCAAAATTGTAAATAAGCAAAGCCCATTGTTCCTGCAAGATTTAGTTCAACAGAGAAATTCCACATACAATTTTAGGTACCAAAAGACTCTGGAACTACCTAGGCCAAGAACTACTAGGTATGGAAAACAGTCTTTCAGCTATGCGGCTGCTACGTTGTGGAACTCTTTACCAAATCATGCTAGGGAACTTTCCACCCTCAACCAGTTTAGAACATTCATTGACACATGGAGGGGGGAAAAATGCAAGTGTAGTTCCTGCAGAAACCACAGCGTGGGGGCGGCATAGCTGATGAGACAATATTTATTTATTTATTTATTAATTGAAAGAGTCACAGTCTTCTATTTTTGCAGTTTTTCATTTATTTTTGAAGTCTTTCATTTGCTTTACTGATACCACCTCTATTTATTTTATTGTGTTCTTCTAAGTTTCTTTTATATCTATATATTAAACTTTGTTATTTACTTAAATTTTCAATAATAAGGACCCTGGGGGCTGAAACTTTTGGAGTAACATCCTATGATGGCAAAGGTGTAAGCTCTCCAGGATCCTAGTTTCTTTTATTTTTGTTTTTGATATCTGCTTTTTCCTAACCTCACAACAATACATATCCTGTCTATGTAGGTAGGGGCTGACCCAATCACTAGACAGGATGTGTGTTGGTGAGGAACTTTAATTATTATTATTATTATTATTATTTTTTTTTTTTTTAAATTTTTGGTTAAGCTGTATTTGCTTGAATTTTTAAGTTTCTAAGCTATCAATTTTATTTTTCTATTATTAATACAATTAGTGCTTTTAATCTGATCCCATGTGTTTAATATAGTGCTTTATCTAATTTGTTATTATGATAATGCTTATTTTTTTTAATTTTTGTTCTTAATGCAATCATTTTGCTCTTCAGTTTTCTGTTCTTTTTTTTCTAATTCTTATGCGTGTGTATATATGTACATGTGTTTTTTGCATGTTAATTTATGTTGTAAATGTTTTCTCTGTGATATTTTTAGCTGTGATAGTCGGTTTAAGAGCTCTACAGAGCTCATGTTCATTGTTAAACTTTGTAAAAAATGCCGACTTTAAATAAAATTTACTTACTTACTTACTTACTTATATGTTGTAAAACAATCTTGTCTGCATTTGATTGACATGTGATTTTAAATTACCCCAACTTCTACAGATATTTTTTATTTTGATCATGTGAACAAATATCAAAAATAAAAATGCAGTTTGGGATGTTATATTCATAAAGATGGGTTATAAATAATGTAACAATATATATATATTTTCAAAAATGCATTTTTCATTACATAATTTATACTAATTAATTATTTTATAGGATGGTTTAAATAGTGAAACTCTAAACTTTTGGCGAAAATGTTCATATATTGGCGGAAAATAAAACATATAAATGTTGGCTTTATATTTTAATTTTTGTTTTAAAGTTCTTTATTAGTATCTCCATTTGGTCAAAGAAAATTATCGGTAAAATTGAATAACTACAATTAGCAATGATAAATCTCTTCTTACTTGAGAAAGTCAAGTGCATTCAGTTTTTAAATGAAAAAATAAAATCTGTGATAATTCTCATTGATTGCCCATCGTTTCCATAAACATGATATAGAGGGAAATGAAATATTAGTTGTGATAGTAAATATGCCTCTGGTTGTCCAGTCGATAGCATCGTGTCAAACTTTTGGAAACACCTTTACATATCGCCCAAGGCACGTCAGGTGTTGAAACGAACTATAAATGCCGTGACTTTTTGGAAACAATGTATAGATTACTCGCGAGCGACCGATTGGACGCTTAAATTGAGAAAGGTCAAGGTCAAAGATTGTTGATTTGTGAAAATATTTTGGTCAATGAAAAAGACATGGCTGAACTGAAACGAAGTATAGTTTGTAATCCCGGGTAAAAGTTTGTGTTGTAAAATCTACATTATGGGGGAGTTACGGAATCTTTTCAATCGAATATATTCAGGCTTTGTTTTGATCGCCACGGTACACGTGTGTTTGTGTTTAGAGCCCAGTGACAACACAGAGGAATTTCATATGGTTCAAGGTATTTTCTGTTTCTACAAGATAAATATTTTATGATCTGAAAATCGCCATTCACTTTTATCATGAATATTAATATTGTTTATTAAGTGGAAAATGTAACTCGGTATTTTAGGGAGCAGGAGTTCGTTGATCATCAAGGATTCAGCTTCATATACCTTTATCAAATTAATCCGGTTTCTAATATATATATATATATATATATATATATATATATATATATATATATATATATAGAAATAACTGTTTTCAGCTATTATTCACTCTCATTTTTAATCATGTTAATCTCAAAGAATCTTTACTTCGCTGTTTTCCACCTCAGCAATGTTAATTAATGTTTGCCTCCAGCAGGTTTCCAATATGAGGAGTATAATTTTGAAAAAAAGTTAACGGTTAGCTGCAGAACTGTAGCATTATGGTTTTATATATATTAGTATTTTAGGAATGACTCTAATTCTTGGCCAAATTATTCGAGTATAACCTGGTTTGGGTCAGTTTACGCTTTATAATCCGCGAAGCTATAATCTATAATCAGGTTATACTCGAATAATTTGGCCAAGAATTAGAGTCATTCCTTATAATTTAATTTTAAAATCATTAAATAACTATGGGTGTAAAATTTGTTTGCTTTTTATTAATTCAAATTTGCCGCTCAATGTAACGGAAGTAAAGGAAATGATGGGAAGCAAGGGGAGGTAAAAACTGATACATAGGCCTAGCAGCCTTGTTGTTTATTTACATATTTACATGTGTTAAGATCGAATTATTGTTTGAAGCTAAAGGTACATTTATTAAATCTGGAATTTTCCATGAATCCCGAGGACTGGAAATGAGAGGATTGTATGGATATAGATGATTCAGCTGGTTGTCAGGGGGGTGTGTCCCCATACCAAACCAGGTTATACAGAAATAATTTGTGTTCCTTTTTGGATATTAACCAATCAGAGGCTAGAATACAAACAAAATTAAATTATTTGACCATAACGCCACAATGCAAATATGGTGCAATTTACGGCACAATATTTTCTGCGCATGGTTGGGGAGAATTTCTCTACTTTCCAGCATTGCATGGTCAATCAACTACAGGTCTCTGTGCCAAAAGTGAAGATAATTTTATATATTAAATATAACAATTTCTTGGATTATCGAGAAATTTAATTGTGGTAAAGTCTGTCAAGAGATGTTATCATTCCAGTGATTTTACAAAATGTTGTTTTCAGTTAAGTATATAGAGAAAAAAATAAAATTATCTTCACTATTGGCACACAACTACTTTTCACTTCCTAATTCTAGACATATTCTTTAACCAGCCTGTATATTCTATTCATCTCCTAACCTTTTATAGTCATCTCTACAGAACAATAAACTCGCTTTTTCTGAATTTTCTGCCATCCAACAAAAAATCTCTGTTCTTGTCAGTCAGGTTTCTGAGGTTTCATTAAAAATGCATGATAAATGACAAAACATGTTTAATGCATTAGTTTGAACTATTAGTACCTATAAAAACATGTTTTCTGTTATATATTAATTGTTAATGAATACCAAAGATAAAGGATCGCCTGGAGCCTTATTTGACTGTAAAATTCTGAAAAAATCGAAATTGTTCAATTTCAGTGGATCGTGATTTGAATATCAATTAGACTTCTATAGTGACAATCTAAGCTTTATATCAAGACATCATGAAACAATGCATCAGTACTGACTTTTCTTGAAGCCATCCTACAAAATGGCCAATATTTCAGGCTTTTTTTTCAAAACTTCAACTAGAGTGCCACCGGTAGTTCAGATCCAAAAATTACCAGAATATTTTTACAAAACTGTCCTTCGGTTTATTAAACATGTACATGCTTTATTGTTTTTTTTTTTGGTTTTGTTTTGGTTCAACAGCGTGTTTTGATTCTTAGAATTGTTGAAAATACAGCATTTTGATGACATGCAATGAATATGGCTGGGGCATATAGTGTTTGTCATGTCTATCTTCTGTCCTTCCATCCTTCTGTCCTGTCTGTTCTTTCATTACACTTTGCATTTAGCTCAGTTTCAAAGAAACTATTCATTGACAAGATATTTTTATCAAACTTCATATGCTGGATACATATTGATAAAAGCTATTCAACTGCATAAACATTTTTTGACCCTGGCCTTTCCTATGACCTTGACACCACTTTTCTTAAAATAGTGTTAAGCTCTGTTTCAAAGAAACTATTCAAGATTTTTTAATCAAATCTAATATGCTGATACATATTGATGAGAGCTAGGCCTAAAATAAAAAATTGTTTTCTGTTGCCTACCGACCCAGACAATTTTTTCAGCCACTTCTTGAGATAATTTTTGGGGGGTTATAGATTCAAGTTTTCAGGATATTGAAACTGTTTCATTTTCTATTTTTCTTTTTATCAATGAATAGCTTAAAATAAATGGAGCTTATTTACTTTAGTAGCTCTCTGGAAATCCCTGATTTATTGTCAAACATTTTTTTTTCTTAAAAAAAAAAATTCCTACCTAGCTACCCACTCTAAAAATTACAGGTGAGCAACTGCAAACAAATATTTTTTTAAGCTTGGCCCTGTTCAACTGCATCAACATTTTTGACCTTGACTTTTCCTGTGACCTGGACTTAAAATTTGTGTTCAGCTAAATTTCAAAGAAACTATTGAAGATATTTTTAGTTATCTCAAAATTTCAAATAAACTGTGCAAGACTTTTTTATCAAACTTCGTATGCTTATACATATTGATGAGTCTCGAGCTATTCAATTGCATTATTATTTCTGACCTTGAACTCATTTTTCTTCTGTTTGTGCTTAGCTCAGTTTCAGAGAAATGTATCAAGATATTTTTGTCAAACTTCATATGCTGATACATATTGAAAAGAGCTATTCAACTTCAACTTTTTTTTTGATCTTGACATTTCCTTAGACTGCCTCTATTTTCTCAAATTTATGCTTAGCTCAGTTTAAATGAAACTTTTCAAGATATTTTTTATGTAAGCTTAAGCACAGATACATTATTTGATGAGAATTACCAACTGTGTCTAATTTTTTTTACCTCAACCTTCCCAATGATCTTTGAATTTACGATTTATTGTGTATAAAACTAAGTTTTAAAGAAACTGTTCAAGATATTTTCATCAAACTTTATACACCAATACAAATTTTCCTGTTGCATTACAAATGAACCCTGGGTATGGCATTCATGGAAATATGGACATATTTCTAGTTTTGGTAACCTTCATGAAGTTTGCATTTTCTTGAAGCCTATTTTCAGTTACTCTTACTCTCAGACAAATTATTTATTTATCAAGGGAAGGAAGGCATGGAGTCTGCATAATATAAATGTTTAAACTGGACTTTGGGTGACAGTTTATTAATTGGTTTATACACAAGGCCATCTTATGCATAAAGCGAACTTTGTTCTTTATTAATCTTATGCATTAAAAACATCTTGTCATGTGGATATACCACTCTAAATGCTAATTAAGAATATATTAATGGAATGTATTAATTTAGCTAATATATTACATGTCTGAAATAAAACATATTCAGTAAAAGATGATTTATTTAAAGCATAAAATACTGTTTGAAGGTACATGTATGTTTATAAAGACACTTTGAGGCCCATTTAGGACCTATCAAAAAATAGTTTTGAATTTGTATTCTCGAATTTGTTTAAATGAATTTGATTTGTTATACAGCCCTTGCTCCAATTCATTATTTCACAAATTTTAGAATTCGTTTAAACAAATTTTATTTTTTATGACAAATTTTTGATTTCTTATACCAAATTTTTGATTTCTTATAACAAATTTAAATTGTTATAACAAATTTATTGAATTCATTTTAAACATATAAAAAAGATTATAAAATTTGTTATCAAGTTATTTGGAATTAAATTTGAATAAATGTATTTCAGAATTCATTATTTGCAGTTGTTCAATTTGTTTTTATGGATTTATAAAATCTATTTTAATATATTTCTATCCAATCTGTGATCATGGTGATAACAAATGAAATATATTTTGGAAAAAGTGAATTGTGGAATTCGTTAAAACAAATTTAATTCAATATATCAAATTTTTGAACTCATTGTAATGAATTTAATCTGTTATAACATTTTACATTGCTTTAAATTTATTCAAACAAATTTAAAGAATTAGTTATCACAAATTACATCATTCTGTTTTAACAAATTTATAATTTTAAATTGTTGAATTCATGTTCTCAAGATCAGTAATCCATGATCAAATAAGAAATATAACAGATTTTATAAATCTGCTAATAAAAGCAAAATGAACAATTTGAAATTATGAGTTATGAAATTTGTAACAACAAATTTAATATAACAAATTTTTGAATTCCATATAACTAATTCAAGAAATTTGTTAACAGAATAGATTCGTTATAATCATATGATAATGAATTCAAGTAATGGATATAATAAATTAAATTTGTTGTAACAAATCTGAGAATTTGTTATATTGAATTAATTCAAAAATCTTTTTTTTTTGATAGGTCCTAACTCCTAAATGGGCTTCCATAAGGCACCTTGTACTGCAAATTTATAATCAAGATAATAGTAGCAATATATTGAAATTAAAAGGAAGAGCAAGAAAACTGCAGTGTACAACAACCTTGACAAATGCTTGTGAATTAATTTACTCACTTTGCAAAAAAATCTTATTAGGATTTTCTTTTTGTACTTTCAAAATGTGGAATGTTACAAATTTTATTATGTTATTACATCAGTTGATAAAGTATCAGTATATATTGCAATAAAGGGAAAAAGATAAAACATGTTAAAAAGAAAATGCTGTATTGATTAGCATTAAAATTGTGTCATGTTTGATCTGACATCAGTTAGTACCAGTTCCTGCCTCCTGTCATGTCATCTGTTTGATGAAGACGCAGGAATTTGCCAATAGTCATAATAACAGGATGTAAGCAGACAAGCTGGCTCTTTATCAAAAATAACTCTAAATTGGTTTTTCTGAATTTGTTTTGTAGCTTGATTGACAAATTTTAAATTAACATGCTTCTTAAGTTTTCTTGTAGTGCACGATATGCGAACTAAGCTGATATTAGAATTCAATGACACTGCTGACAGCAATAAAAAGACAAGTACATCTCAGCCATAATTGACTTGTCTAATTTTATTTCAGATAAATCCTTTTCTAATGTGACAATTTATGACATGAATGTGACGTGTGGGGAGCACAGACCAGGACTGTTTCCCTCCCAGACTTGGACCTGTAATGACATTAGGTAAGACTAAAATTAGAATGGTGGTGGTAAGGGGGCCAAAGGGAGGTAAGTGAGAAAAAAGGGGGAAGGTCAGATGTGGGAAATTTTTTTTTCCTTTTTAGCTCACTTTGATAAAGTTGTGCTATACCCTCTTTAGTTGTGTACTGGTTAGAGTTTTATGGAGTAAGTCATCTCTCAAGTAAGTGGTAACAATGTACACAATTTGGATCAAACTTGCATCTGAGGATGATGTAGCTATGGATGTACACTACCAGACTTACATGATATACTCACTGGACCAACATTTTCCTCAAGAGTGACCAGGTTCAAATTTTTGGAGCAAGTCCATTCCAAAGTATCTATATAGTCCATTCAAAAGTATCTATAAAAATATATTTACATTTCCAATAAATTTCCCCTATGATTCTTTACAAAATAGAAAACAGTTCATTTTCTAATGAACTACCTTGGATGAGCATGAATATCTCCATTGTTACCTTGGCTCATAATACCCTACTTGACATCAAAACTATAGTGTGGACTGATTTTTGCTTTAAAAATGATAGTTTAATGGCGTTATTTGTTGCAACTCATCAGAAAAATAATGTAAATATGAGAAATGACGCGCTTCATGAAATATGCCGGCGTGAAGCGTCGTAGTTCATGTCCCCATGAATCTTCAAAAATTAAATTCATTTCTTAAGTAAGCCCTACATGGATCAAATTTACATGGATGTTGCATTTTGGAATAGACTCATCAGATGTGCTTCAGATGCTGCATCTGACCTACAATGTTTGGGTCATAGAACAGTGAAGTTTTTGGAGGAGGTCAATGTCCTAGTAACTGTAAGGCCTAACAAGAAAAAACCTGCATGAATGTTGCATCCAGGGATGCAGACTACTAGAACATTCATTTGATTTAGCTGTTTTTGTGAATGACATTCATTGAAGCATTGAGAGTATATATGTTAATTTCAAGTAGCAAGATCACTTCTTTGGCTTAATTTTCCATACAGCTATCTTATTTTTGGCTAGCTCAATTAAGTGAACTTTTCTGATCATTTAATCCATCCATCTGTCTGTCCTTCTGTAAAATTTTAACATTTTCAACTTCTTGTCAGGAACCACTAGGTCATTTTCAACCAAACTTTCTTGGGTAAAAGGGATTCAAGTTCATTCAAAAGAAGGGCTACATCCTCTTTTAAGGGAGATAATTGAAAATTAAGTGAAAATTTGATGGATTCTTTCAGAAATCTTCTCAAGAACCACTGGGTCAGAGAATTTGAAACCTATGTAAAGCCTAATTACATACACTGTACTGTAGATTCAAGTTTGTTCAAATCAATACCTCTGGGGCTAGGATGGGACCACAATAGAGGATCAAAGTTTTACATATAGGTATACATGGGAAAATCTTTAAAAATCTTCTTCTCAAGAAGTGCTGATGAACAGTATGATCATAGTGACTCAGGTGAGTGTTGTGGCCTATGGGCCTCTTTATATTTTAAGTTTAGTCTTTGAAAAGTCTTTTGATGGCAGTGTAAGTACATTTTGGGACATAAAGGTTTCAGTTCTCTTGTATTAGAACTTGTGTGATCAATGTATTTTGTAGGGTGAATGGGATGAGGATGGCCTATGGCTACTACCCTGGTCTAGGGGCAGACAGCAAATGCACAGAGTCAGGTGGATTTGATGAACTCCGACAACTTTGTTACAAGTTGATGGAATCCATTGCTTCAAACAGACAATTATGGGGGGCTCAGGTAAGAATTATAATGTACCTGCTGTACCAGAATTGTGAAATTCATGTCTCCTGGCTCCAGGGATCTGGCCCCAGGATGGTGCTAAGTTGGTCATATATTGAAAATTTATATTTAAAAAAAATGTACCATAGAAAACTTATTTATTCTTTATCATTTAGCAAGCAATCTGTGTGCAAGGTGTCAGTAAACTATGAACCCAACCAAACTGTGAAAATTGCTTACCCTGGCCCAAGCTTAAGACATCAGAATACATATGTAGAGCTATGTTGACCATGTATTTAAAATAAATTTTTTCTTTAAAAAATCTTATTAACTAACTAATAGTGATGTGAACACTTTGATTTTCTCTGTTTGACCATGATTAACCTTACCATATTTTGTAAGGTCTTTACCATATACAACAGTATATATCTAGTCATAATGAATGCTTTAACACTCACTATAAGTCAATTACCTATAGTGAATGACTGATACAGCATCTCACACACCAGGCAGTCAGCAGGATTTGTAAATATGATCAGTTTTTCATGTGGGTGAGGTTCTACTTTCACACATACTGTACTTGATTCAATTTGAGATTATGTAAGCAATCCTTGTTTAAAAAAAAATGTGTGAAGTTGATGAGTACTTGAAAAAAAACCTTTTCAAGACAGAAAATTTTGCTTTAACCTTAACCTTAAGCACAAACAGTTTACTGATTAAGTTAATCTAGCTAAATAGGTCTGTTCCTAGAGATTTGAAAAAAAAAATCAATATTGACAGTGCCAGAGGTTGTTTTTAAGTCTGTGGTAATTAATTGATAAGCTTCACTGAGTGCATCATCTTTTCATGTTATCCTCACAAAAATTGGATGAGAAGATTTATACTATAATTTTATTGATTGTTAAATGATGAAGTAATACTTTTTTCCTTTTTGCTCCTTGCATGTTCACATGAAATAGGAGAGCATTCAGGGACTGTACTAAATAAATGTCATATCTAAATTAATAAGATATGATTTATTGGAAATTATACCAGTCGAGATTTAAAAAAAAAATAATGCCTGGAAAATGGATTTAAACATGCTTGAACTTCCCCTCATTTTTTTCTCTAGGTATCCAAAGCAAGCTGCGATTACATTAATGAAAAGCGAGTGATGCTGAATCTGTCCCTGGATGGTTACTATTGGAAGATTATGAAACCAGGTTATGGTTGGATAGAAACACTGCAGTGTGTGGCCTTTCCAAAGGATGATGCTTTTCCATTCCCATGATGCAATAAATGCAGAATTGACCTACTTTTAACGAGAAATGAAACAGGAAAAATTCATCACCTGCCACTTTGGTTGTTTGATCTCAATCTTTAGAAAAATGATCAGATTTTACATTTGTGCTCTTGTTTTTTTCCTTTTTATTTCTTGGAGAACTGTTGAGAGGATTAATAAAGAGAAATATTTACTCTAAGCTTTTATGACATCGATTAATTCAGTTGCAGTTTGAAAATTGCCTTATCAATTCAAAAGCATGCATCTCATACCCAGTTTAGAAGCACATATTTTCTAATTGCCTCAGGTTATTTGAAATTTTTACCAGTTATGTTGTTCATATGTTATTAGGTTTGAAGACATTTTTTAAAGAAAATTTGCATAAAATTGTTTTGATTATCTTTCCTCTCTGATATCTGTCAGTCAGGACTTATAGTCACACATTTATTTGTAGTGAATCAATACAAGTGTTTTTATGTTTTTAAATATCCCAGTAACTTGTTTTTCCCAGGAATAAGATATTGTTTCTTATGAATATTTATATATTGCATTTGCCTGTATGTTCATATCTTGGTAATCCGTGTTTGTGAACTAGCCAACAGGTTACTGTCCCTGGCAATCGTTATTGGTGAATTGACTTCTCGTCTTGTTTTGTAATAATGATAATGTCATTTTTGAAAGGAAGTTTGCTGAAGTAAATGTTTTATTGTGTTGTCAATATCATTTGCTCTAACTATTTATTTTAGAATGAAGGGGTAGCTTAATGAGGTGTAAGATAACTTTTTTAACAGATTTGAATGTAAAAGAAATCATGCTTCTGGTATTTTAAGAACTGAAAAGGTTAAAGTGACTGTGTATTCAAAATGTAAAAACTATAAAGTATACAAAATTTACTGATAAATTGCACTGGATTTAAACTTGGTGTTCTTCGAGCTGAAAAAAATTGTGTAAAGATTTTTTCTTGGTTACGTAGGTAATTAATATTTGATAGCATCTCATATGTATAGGGTATTGATAATATGTAGAAAAAATAAGGTTCTAGCCGAATTTGTACTCATATTAAAATCATGAAAAAAGAAACAGAGAATATGATAGTTTGTAATTTTTATAGAACTGTTAGTGTCTTAATTGTAAACCAGCATCATTTTGACTCACAAAATTCACAGAGGACACAAGAAAGTAATAAGTACAAACAGTTTTTGGGATTTCCTCAAGTTTGATGAATTTTTAATCATATTTCAGTTAAAACTGGGTGGAAATTAGCCCATCTGAGATTTTCATATGAAAGAATGGCATGCTTAAATTATGTAAACTTGGCAAATATGCTGACTCGCTTTATATGTTTTCTACAAACCTATGTTCCTTTAAACGAAGAAAAGTTTATAAAAGTTCAGATTCAGATGTTAATCCAAGGCATGAAATTCCTGTTTCTTTTGTGTATTGTGTCATCATAAAAAAGAAAAATCAAAATTTTTAAATGCAGGTGTTTGATTATCACAGTACTCTGCATGACATAAAAAGAGGGCTAAAAGGGGACCATAACAGGCTTTATTCTTTAATGTAAAAAAAGTTTTTTAAAACTGGTGAGTTTATCTTATATCCAAATTAGAGTGTGATTAGAAATTGAGTACATGTATTTTCATTTGGCCGTGTGATTTTGTTTTTTGTGCAATATGTTTTATGTATTGTTCCTCTCATAGACAAGAGAAGTAGAGTTATATACCTTATGTATACTTGTATTGAGCAAAATTGCTTAGTAATGAATTTGTTTATTGTTTTTTTTTCTTATTTGCCTGTTGTTTAGCCCAGAGGTTCTAATATTTGTAGGATCATGTTATTGATCTGTCTATCTGTTTGTTGGGAAGCCTACATTTGTCTCTCTTTTGAACTGTACGAGATATCGATACATAAAGATTTCATATTTGGCTTGCTCCACCAGTAACTAATAATCCCAGTCTGTTTTTTTGAGATCATAATCATCATGTCACAGGTGAGAAGTTATTGGCTGAGGTATATTGAAAAAATTACTGAATTCATAAAAATGAAATGTGAAATCTTACTTTATATGGAGATATTGTCTTTCAGATAACACATTTTGTTGATTTTAAAACAGATACCAAGTGCTATTATTACTATATGCTTTTTGGAAGTCCCATTTTTAAAAAAAAATATTATCTTTATTCTATGCAATATCTAATAATATGTCATTGTTAATAGTCATATTTTAATATGTTCATGTACATCGTAAAAATAAAAAAAGGATGAGAAAAACGTCATCATGTAACACAGTCTAAGATGTACATGTACTCTGTTAGAATTACTTAAATATCAGAGCGCTAGTACACATTAGCAATTGTAAATAAATTTCATTGAACAGTACTGTGTACAAACATTGACAATCATATAACTATACACTTGTAAATAAAATGTGAAGGCACCTGGATTATTTGTTTTGTCTTTACTATTTAATTTTTCATGGTTTGAGGAAAAATAAAGATTTGAAGGGACTTTATTTTGTGATTTCAGAAGTGAAGTTGAGATTTGAAATTTTAAAGCATTAATATGAGCTGCAACTTTTTGTGGCAAAATTGTAATCAACTATTTCAATGACAGCAAAAAAGAATGTTTATAAACGTCTGTTGTTCATATTTGTGATGGAAGAACTATTTATAAGCTTTGATTGAAGCAAAATTACATTATTGTCGTCCTCTACAATATTGATTTCTTATATAATACATGTACTTTACATTCCATTGTGCAGAAAATGTTTCTTCTGACACAGTTTAATACTTTATTTTATTCTAATTAATCATAAAGGTTAAAGTAACGTACAGATTTTTCATAACAGCACATTTTAACAGCAAATAAATTTTTCAAAAAAGCAGCTCATATTGCTTTAACTTTTCATGGTGAACATGATATGGTGGGTCTATACATACCATGAATACAATCAAAATTAATCAACTGATTTCACAGTATTTTATTTTACTAGCTCACCTTGACAAAGTCGGAGGGGGCATTTGCTATACCTTGTGCCAGCATCCATGTGGGCATCCCAGGTTTATTTTTGAGTAGAATTATTTCCACATAATTCTGCCCAATTCTGATAAAAGTTGCATGGATGATGCACCTAGTACAAGCATTTTCACTTGACCAGTCAGGTTTCAGATGCTGCATTTCCAGCCAATATTTTCCAGAAGAGTGATTTTGGAACAGGTTAAAGTTTTAGGAGCAGGTCTCAATACCAAGCTTTTATAGGCCTTATCTGAGCATCTAATAAATGCATACTTACAGACTTGGTTTGGATGCTTGATTTGACCTGCATTTTCAGGATGAGTGACCAGGCTCGGGGGGTATATAACTTATATGAGCTCCCTTTTGATCTCAGACTCACTTTTTCTTTGGTAAAATTAAGACTGAGATAAAAAATGAGCTCGCATAAGTTTTATGGTCTCTGGATTCAGGGTGGAGCTAAGTTGGTTATACATTGAAAAATGTATTATATCATATAAAATCTCCTTTACCCATGGACATGTAAAAGGCAAACTGTTTTCATGATTACAAGAACACTCAATTTTTCACCAAATTATGAAATTCATGGCTCCTTGGTCCATTCAGACCCAAGGGTGGGGCTTAGTTGTTCACAATGTATACTGAAAACAAATCTTTGAAAATCTACTCTATTCATGGACATTAGCAGCCCTCTACCAAAATTGTGATATTCATGGCCTTTGGGCCCATGGTTCAGGCTCAAGGATTAGGCTTAGCTGGTATTATTAGTCTAGTCAATTAAGCAAAAATCCCAACGTCAGTCTTATTGCAACATAATTATTTTGTGATAAATGAAATCTAATCTTAATGAAAATCTATGGGGAAAGCATAATTTTGGCACGATTTATTACCTATGGAAATTACTATATAAAAGGGGCACAACTCTGCATATCCATCCAATTTTTGTTGAAATTATGGAGAGGGCTTAGATAGGCAATGTTTGCTGCCTAATCCATTTATGTTGATCATAATAGAATATGTTCAAAACAAAGAAAATCCCCTGTTTTTTATGACAGCATAATCCTACTAAAACATTTTGATACAGTTAAATAGATAATTACTTCACATACATACTATAAATTTGAAATGGTTGTTATGAATCTGACTTCATGCTTTTTAAATTATTAATTGGAAATGTTAACATTTTTTAACAGATGGTGAAATACAGCGCTCAGAAAAGAATAAAAGTGCATAATTTGCTTTAAAGGGGCCTATACACAGTTCCATTGTCTACATTTTAAAATTCTACTTTTATTCAAAAATAAAACCAGTTAAATAAATTGAACTTACATGAATATTCTTAGAATTCAAAGACAATGACATTCTTCTTTACATCACGTCAAACATACTCTGTTATTGCTAATGTTTACGGTTTTACCGGGTGTGTTCAATTTTTTAAACTCTGCACACATCACTGTGCACGGATTGGCAATAACGGTGAATTTGTTTTGCTTTCTCACATTTCTACTCTGAGTTTTCTCGATTAAAATTTTAATATTTTTCATTAATACACAACAAAATTTCTACTTTTCTTAAGCATTAAGGATAAAATTTACTTCGTGAAAGTGCAAGGATTTGTGTCAATCAAACGCGTCCCGAAATTCGTAGTTTTAATAATTTCCAGATAAAATAAGCTTCTGAACACGTTTTTCTTATATTTCAGTGTGAAATCTCTAGCAACTTATGAGTCATGATATCATATAGAAAATTTGAGAAAATATTAACTTCAGATCCTTTAAATTATGATTTATAGTATGCAAAGGAAATTTCATTTTGTTCATTAAAAAAATTACACATGAAGATTTAGAATCAAAGTTTGACCTTTGTTCTGAAACACCAACCTTAACATTTTATTATTATGAGGCGAGGAAATGCAACGTACAGTCTGAAATGGGCCCATAAATTAAACATCTGCAATAATTTTTTTGCTAGGTATTAAAGGGTTACGTCGTTATACGCAGTTTAATTCACTTCCTCTTTCTTCAAGGCAGAAAAAATACACAGAGAGAAATGTGATTTTTAGTTTTACGGATCTTTCCAAAAAAATTGGATAGGGGTACTTAGGAAAAACAGAAAGAAGAGGTGGCTGATTTTTCTTCAGTTAAAATTTGCTTTTTATTGCATTCCAGGTTGCTGGTCGATATAAACATTTGAGATTGACTTATGAAATATGATCAAATATCACACACCAATGTCAATTTCTTGACATGTTGATTTGCAAAAGGACAAGGTTTTGAGATTGACTTATGAAATATGATCATACATCACACACTAATGTCAATTTCTTGACACGTTGATTTGCAAAAGGACAATTTTCTCGGATACCCAAAGATCACCGGTCATATAATCAAACCTACTATTACTTCCCAGTACCTTCACAGGCAAAGTTCAATTACTATATAGGGCATAATTAAAGGAGAATGTATCTAAGCAATTCTATCCATCATTTATACTACAAATTATTAATAAAAATTTCAAAACTCATTCGGGAAAAAAGTTAGATATGAACAGAATTGAGAAATAAATCAGAAATTGAACCTGTGTATGCAAAAAAAACTATTTCTTCGATCAAAAAGGATCGTCTAGGAAAAAATCAAAGAAGAAAAATGATTTTGAAAAAAAATTAAATTCTTATATTCCCAACTCCTTCGGTTGCACACAGTAAACATAAGTCTACAAGAACATACAGGAACAAAGTGGGAATACCCATCGCATCAACATAGGTTTAGAATATGCGTTTCGGCAAAAACGAAAAATAATCAATTATTAATAAAAAGACTATTCCCAAAATAAGTGGTGTCAGACCCCTATTCCCCCAGCCCCGTAGGAAGCAATTTCAGTTTGGGGGGCACTGCCATACATTTTCAGTTGGGGGGGGGGGGGCTATCAACTACCAAAAATTCCTTGACAAGCAAATAAAAAAATATAAATAAATAAAAAGGTCATCAGACGTTTTTATGAGGGGCACAGCATATAGTAGCTATGTTTTCTATAGTAATCTATTTATCGGCAAAGTTACGGGGGGACCCTCGTCCCCCCTGTTCCAACGGCCATGCCTCCGTTATATGACCTTATTTCAACTATACTCTTTGCAACAATTCGTGGACGGAGCTATTATTAAATTTTTGTTGTTTTTGTCCTTTCTTAATTCTTTTTTAATGTTTATCTGGAGTTTCTAGTACAAGAAACCTCAGAGTATTCATGTCATGTTGCAACACACCAAATCATGTTTGTTTTAAGTTCAATAGAAACCATGATTTTCTTTTATCAAAGGGAGGAAAACTTTTCCCGAGGAATAAATGCATCCTGTTTATGGTTTTTGGAATTCAAAAATAAAAGAAATAGCTGTTAAGGCAAGCACTGTTAAAGTGCTTTTAAATCGATTAAATGATCTTAGTTTTTATACGAACTTGCATTTAAAAACTAAATACATGTACACCCATGCAAGAATGTTTTTACAACAAATTAATCTGGAATTGGTCAGAAAAGTACAATTTAATAAATAGCAACTTTGTAACAGGCACTTCTTCTCAAACAGTTGAATCCATTCGGAGCTTGGAACAAAAATCCTTGTCGAAGGTTTATATTTTTTTCCTCTTAACTTTGTCGGTCAATAAAAGTGATATTAATCATTATTGAAACGTTGACAACGGAGTACAAAATCTCTAAAAACAATCTACGCGTACATCACATTGTACAATTTATTTTATCGATGATGAAAATTATCGTGTATTACGAATGTTTATCATTTTAATTCTTCTCTCCTTTCACTAGTTTTTTAAAGCCATACTCCATAATTTAATACTGTACACATAGTCCCAATCGAGCTGATGTATTTGATATAATATGTGTCAATTACTAAATAGGGCATTAAATATAAGTTCATCCTGTAAGGTATGTGCAAAAAAGAAAAGAAAACCTGCAGTCAATTTCTTTTTAAAAGCTATGAAATCTAATCAATTTGAGGCAAGAAAATAGTAATTCAGATCCTTTTATTACTGTCAATACATGGAGGCATTGCCCCTGCTTATATACATGTATTTAATTAATTAACAAAAATTAAATAAAAATAAATTTAAAAACAGTGCCAGAAAATTATCATAATATCAAGAGTGCAGTGGTATTTGGAAAAATAGCAATGTTTAATTATACAATATTATTAGATTTGCAGACTATTTAAGGCAAAGTGGTGTTTATAGAGGAATTTAAACTTCCCCATAATTAAGTCCTTTGCAGCATCCTTTGATCGAACATCTTCAAGATACGAGATGTTACGCTTTTAAATGTGAATTTGTTAGTATTATCGAACATTTTTCTTGTAATTAACTTATAAAAACTCTCTCTATCTCTTTCCAGAAATATTTAATTAGATAGCTGAGGAAATAATTAACG